ACTTCAATAACACGGTATACGTTTCCCAATTTGCTTATCACAATTTAATTTCTTCACGTGGGGAATCTCAAATTGGAAAACGGAAATGTGCAACAAATTAAGCAGCCATTCATCGCGATCGAGATCACACACCAATATGAGATCAACTATTAGTCTAACTTGTAAATGGTAGTGTCAGTAGTATTCAACTTATTATATATGCTATTGTGATCTTAATACCTTAATAAAGCTTAATTTTGGCTTAGATTAGCTTATTTTAAGACCTGTCAATGTGCCAAGCAGCAGAATAATTATCTTGGTATAAACTATCTCCGATTGAGAAATTCGCGCGTGTCCTTTTACCTTATATTATCAGAATTCAATACAATACAATATCAATATACTTATATTACGTACATGACGACCACTTGATCGCTGTTTATCCATACTATATCATTTAAAACCATATATACAACTCCAATCATACTTTTCAAAAGTATATTTCAACAATCAATTCTTGACAGGTTCTTCAATTGTAAATCTTTCAACTGAAGATTCATCACTATCATCACTTTTTTCTAAACCAATTTGACCATTATAACCATTCAATCTTAAATATTCTTCAAATCTTAAATCTTCCATTTGTAAATCATCTTCTTTTAAATGTGGAATACAGAAAAATGCTAATAAAATACCAATCAACCCCAATATAGCAGCAATAATAAAAGTCCATTGCTTACCCAAGTTCTCTTGAATCTTGGTAAAACATTGAGTACCAACTGCTGCACCTGCTTTACCAATAGCTGCTGATAATCCATATAATGTACCACGAACTGGAGTAGCAAAACTTTCAGATGATGTTAATCCCATACAATTACCTGGTCCAAAACTACCAAAACTATTGAAAAGACCATAAAATACAACAAATAATGGAACTATGACTTTTAATTGATTGTAAGCACATCCAATGATTAATCCAATGACTAAATAACCTGCAAATCCAATCATTAAACAATTTTTTCTACCCCATTTATCAATAACTAATGAACCTAATAAAACACCTGGGATTGATAAGGCATTTAATAATAATGTCCATTCAGCAACTTTTTTTAAATCCTTGGTATCATCTAAAACACTTGCGATAATTGTTGATGAAAAAATACCATTTGGGAATGTAATAAAATCAAAAATAAACCAACAACCACAAGTACCTAATAATCTTCTCCAATAATATTTGAAAACTAAAGGGTATGGAACTTTTTTTTGAATTGCAGCTTCTTTATATAAATGTGATGTATTCATTTTCAATCTAAAATAAAAAATACTTAATGGCCAAACAATACCTAGCCCAAAACAAACTCTCCAAACAACTTCTAGATGTCTTGTACCGGCAGCACTAAAAACAATCAAGAAAACAATTAATGAAAAAGGTCCTCCTAATGTTAATGGTAAATTTGTAACCCAAATGAATATTCTACCTCTTTTTTTAACAGTTTCATTTGCACTTTCAGAAGCTGCAGAACTTGCAACACAATATTCACCACCACATCCATAACCAATAACACCTCTTGAAACAACCATCATCCAAAACATACCAGTAATAGTAATCCCATTTGATGCAGTAGCCATGATTGAACCAAGAACAATAAATAACGTAGTTGTAACAATAGCCCATTTTCTACCAAAATAATCACAAGTTAATCCAATAGAAACTTGACCCAAGACTTCACCAACTAATAAAGCATTTGATACTGCGGTTTTCATATCTGCTGTATATTCCTTTGGGTACATTTGTGTAAATAATGAATTCATCATTGTCATGTTTGAATTAAAATAACCATCAGTCATAAGACTACAACCTGCAGCGACAATAGCAAATATATCGGATAATGATTTTTTCTTATCATATCTGTGTAAACGTTCTTCAGCATCATAATGTTTCTTAATAGCTATTGAATTAACATCTGTATTAATGTTTTCCTCAGCAAGCTTGATATCCTCTTCCTTAGACATGATGATGATTTTATCTTGAGTTTAAAATTTTTGATGATCAAGTAAATCTTAACTCCATTCTTCAAATATATGACATTTCCATGAGTTTAAATACACGAGATAATAAGGTAAATCCTTCAACCTTGAAAAATATGATTGTGTCAACACGTTTCTTTATATCTGATGGATAGAGGATCATTCAACTATGCAACTGTTGGGAATTTTAACGTGATATTCTGTGGGTTTATCCATAATGGGATAAGTTATTAATCTTTTTCATAAGGGATTGTGAAGTTTATGCATATAAAATGAGTCCACTATGATCCATTTTTTTTCAATAATTGGGAAGCACGAGTTTAAAAAGTAGCGGTTCTGAGCTTCTGATGCGCCTTTGAAGTTTGAACCCTTAAAATCAGAAGACAAAAATAGGATGATGTATGATAAGATAGATCAATAACTTGGTTTCACAAATGATATAACAATATTACCAGACATCAAACAGAACATAAACAACAATCTAAACCAGTATGTATTCTTGAGTAGCGTTAACTCTAAATATGATCTTGTGCACTTTAATCCATGATCTTCTGGTCCCTGGCTGTTTGTCTGCTTTTTTGTTCACAAGTTCCAACTTCCAACAACGTCTGATCGCCAACGTGTATTATCTTCAAATTTATCTTCACGTGGATGAAAACAACCAGGTAACAATCCACGCTACTATATGAGTGGCACTCGAAGGATGCAGTAATAAGCGACGGCTTTAGGAGCTATTGCTTTGTCTGATCATCATCATCATCAATAAACAGTATTTCATCTTCAATGTTCACCATCAAAATCTTCAAAAGACAATAAAGATCATCTTCAAGAGATTTTGAATTCAATTAAAATTATCTTTGGCTTGTCGGAAATGTGTAAAGTCCAAAATCACTTTTCCGATATAATTCGCGAATAATCATTTTTGATGACTAATCTGAAAAAAAAATATTGATCAAGCTCATCTCGATTTAATAAGTACAAACAATAAACAAAGAATTAGACATCTAAGATCAAATTTATAAGATAAAAGCTATTAAATATGGATGTGCTAAGATTGATCCATTCACAGCTGATACTTTCGCTACCTTTGAACAAGTTAGAGCTCCCACAAGATGCTGGTTTCACTGCTGAACTAACAAAATTGATCCTAAATGGTGAATATCATAAAGTATTACAACATGAAACTATTTTACCAATAATAGAATCAAATAAATCACAATTAATCGCTTCAGAAAATATAAATGAAAATATTGCAAATTTTGCTACCAATATTTCTAAAGATCAACAAACCGCGCTATTCATTGCTATTGCTTCATTATATTTATTCATTCAAAATAATTTTACTGGTCCTCAATCTCCATTAAAATCAATTGAATTTTTATACCCTGAAGGTTCACAAGTTGATCAAATACATCAACAAGCCATCGATTCATTAAGTGCTTATGGTCAAGTTGCATATGATGGTGCTCAAGATCCATTATATTTATTATTATCTTTACATATTTTGGAAAAATTAGCTAATGTTAGTAAATCATTATTATTGAATCATTTTAATTCTTCAGAAGAATTTGTTGAAGAGGAAAATTTACAACAAGATGATGTTTTGAAAGCTGCTATCAACTGGTGGAGATCAAGAGCTATTATGATTCAATTATCACTTTTCCCAGAATTTTCAGGTCCTCATATTAGTGTTAGTGCATCAATTTTAAATGCTTCTGTTGTTAAAGCTCTTGGATTTGGTCTTAATGAAACTTTACAACAACAATTATCAATTATTTATCAATTGGAGAAATCTAAGAATTCTTTAGATTCAAATTTGGAACATTTAGCTCAACCTCATTTATCAAGTGTTAGAAATTTAACAAATTTTGAATTTGTATTAACTGGTGCAAAAGCTAAAAGAACAAAATTCCAAACTAAAGCTAACTCAGGTCTTATTGTCCTTGCTAAATCAAATTACTTTGTTAATGATGATATTACAGAACAATCACCAGAAAGTTATGAATTAAATTCAGATTTATTATTAGAGAAACCTCATTTTGAAGATATTGGTAATGAAGATATTGATGAACAAATTTATAAAAAACAAAAAACTGATTTACAAGAAATTGATTATTCAACTTTATTACCAGTTAGTTTAAGATCAGAATATATTCCTGAATCATTAAAATCATTAGATCCAAATAATCAACCACAATTATCTGATTATGATAATATTCAATTATTATTACGTCTTTATACATTACGTCAAACTTCACCTTCAAATGATAATTTAGTTTCAGCTCAATTAATGTCATTGGTATCTCGTGTCTTATACCAATCAAATACAACTGCAATCAATTATACAATTTTTTCTAGAGCATTATGGGAAAGATCTATTTTAGAAACAACAAAAGCAAGAACTATTGAACGTGGTATATTACAAATGCAATCACTTGTTGAAGAAATTGGTTTAAAAATTCAAACAAGATTTATTCCAACTTCAAATGATGAAATTTCTACAGCTGCAACTCGTTCAAGATATATTTTCCAAATTCCTTCAATTCCTCGTTGGGATCTTGATACTAAATTAGCAGAAAAATTCATGTCATTAGGTTTAATCAAAAGTGCTATTGAAATTTATGAAAGATTAGGTCTTGAAGTTGATGTTGCATTATGTCATGCAACTATTGGTGAAGAATCAAAAGCTATTGAAATCATCAAGAAAAGAATTTCAAATCATCCAAATGATGCAAGAGCCATAGCTGTATTAGGTGATTTATTAGGTGAACCAGAATATTGGTATAAAGCATGGGAAATTGGTAAATATGTTAAGGCAAAAGTTTCATTATCAAAATATAATTATTATCCACCAAAAGGTATTGAAAGAAATATTGAACAAGCTATTATTCATATGAATGATGCATTAAGTATTAATCCAATTAATTTTAGTAATTGGTTTTTCTATGGTTGTTTAGGTTTAGAATCTAATCAATTTGAATTAGCTGCTGAAGCTTTCACACGTTGTGTTGCATTAGATGATTCAAATTCTTTATCATGGTCAAATTTAGCAAGTGCACATTTAAGTTTAAATAAAACTAGAGAAGCATTTCATGCATTGAAAAAGGCAGTTGCCTCGACTGATAACAAGAAAAGTTGGAGAATTTGGGATAATTATTTAATCGTTGCAGCTAAATTAAAAGAATGGGATGAAGTTTTATTAGCATGTAGAAGATTAGTGGAAAATAGAAAAGATGAATCAGGTGAAGGTTCAATTGATATTCCAGTTGTGGAAAAATTAGTTGAAATGCTAGTACAACAAGATTATCCAAATGATGAAGAAGATTTAACATTTTTCCAAAAATCTTGTATTGAATTTACAACAATTATGTTACCAAATGTTATTAATTCATCATCAAGATTATGGAGAATCATTTCAAGAGTTGAACTTTGGAGAAAGAGACCATGGGCAAGTTTAGAATGTCATGAAAAGGCATATAGAGCATTAAGTCATAATCCAGAATTAGAATTGGATGAAACTGTTTGGAATGATACAGTTGAAGCATGTTCTGATTTGGTTGCAGCTTATGAATCATTAGGTGAATTACCTGGTAAACATGGTGCTGATGATTTAGTTTGTAAAGACTGGAGATATAAGGCTGTACAAACTATTAAATCATTAATGAGTAAAGGAAGACAAAGTTGGGAAGATACTGAAGGTTGGGAACAATTAAAAGAAATGAGAAAAAGTTTATAGATTAAGAACTTATTGTTCAGAAAATAGAAATCTAATGTGAAATTAATTATATAAAGCCATTCAGGATGTAGGTAATCATGTGTACTTCTGTTTCTGTTTAAATTATTCACTTTAAACTCTTAGTTTTATATCTTAGTCTGTCATGGTACTCAATTTTCCTTCTTTTGAGCACTAGGCGCCTGTACTTGTAATGTATCAGGGACTTCAACTTCAGTATCCTCAGATCTAGAGCTTGCAGCATCTTCATCATTATCATTTGATTGGTGGTCTAATGACTCTTCATCTTTTAATTGAACAAAGCATTCCACTATCAATCTTAATCTTTTCCATATTTTGTATAGATACACAGGTTCAAAGCTTAATAAATAATCAAAAGAGTTCAAAATACTCCTAACTGAAGAGCGACTAGCTTTTAATGATTCAAATCTTAATATCCATATAAATCCAAAGATAAATAAAGCATAAGCATCTTTAGAGCTAAGACTATCCCTCAAAACAATGACATAAATCAATACATCTAAATGACTTGCAAAAATCAATACCGGCTGTTCAATATATTCAAGACATGGCGTGAAAACTTCACTAAATTTTGTATTTGGTAAGATCTCAGTTGTGATAAAAGTTGTTAAATTTAAATATGAATAAAGATTAAATGGTAAAATCTTGATAATTGATGGTGGTGTAAATAACCAAAGTAATGCATAACCTAATAATAAAGCATTTTCATCTTTTAATAAATCAGAAAGTGAAACTCTTGTTGGTTCAATAATCAATTCAACTCTTGACGTATTATCATCATTACTTGAAACTTCCTCTTCAGTAACTGAGATATTGGATCTGAATAAAACAATTGTATATGTTATAATTGTACCAATCATTGAAATTCTATAAGAAGTATGATATAATGTTTGACTATTTGAAATCAAGGCATAAAGATAAATTAATGTACCAAATATTGTAATGAGATGTGAAGTTGCCCAAAAATCTTGTAGTTTGAAAACACCCCAAGGTCCAATAGATTCCCTACTAAATCTTGATTTGATATTTTGTTTCAATTGAGTAAAATCTGGTAATGAAATTGAAAGTAATTGATTTGAAACCACTATCTTGAAATCTTGATATTTTTGAATAGTTGATTCGTATGCAGATTTGACTTTGGATATCATAATTCTTGAAGCTTGAGCTGTCATTGGATTTCAGTAATATAGTACCTAACTCATAGTGATCAGATCTAGACTACTTCAATTGTCTAGATGATGTTGTTTTCGAAATTTTCATTAAAAGGTTTTTGTGTAACATTAATATACAATTCCATCACCGAATCAACAACAACAATAAAGATAACGGAATTGGGGGTTATTAAGTAGAGCGCTTATTATGAAAAGTCAATTATCATAGTGATATAATACCAGATAATGTTTTGCAATAGATCTATTACAATCTTTCTGACGATTTCAATTAAATTATTATTTATTCATCTATAAAACTATCAACATGGGAAATTCATATATAAATATTGATCATATCAAACTGGAGCACTACAACTAAAAGAAGATGGTGCACCAGCACTTTTAAATGTAGAAATAATACTTTCAATACTTGACCAAAGACCTAATCCAGCTAAAGATAATGAAGCAAGACCCAAGATAATATTAAAAGTATTCCAATGCCATTGTTTAAAGAAACCTCTTTTCCAACGACTAAAATCTTTCCATGAATCTGAACGTTCACATCTATCAGTCTTTGGATCAAATAATCCATCACCTAATAACGAATCTTTTCTAATTTGTAAAGTAGCAGTCATTAAAGCTGGGAATGAATAAGTAAATTGTAAAGCACAAGCAGCAGCTGAAATTGCAGCAATATTTGATAATTGTGGAACAGCTGCTGATATTATAAATGAAACAATCCAATAACCAATTGCAAAAATTGCCCACATATATTTCCCATTTCTAACATCAATATTTGGACCTTTAAAAATATCAACAACAATGTTTTTATACATTGATTTCAAACCAACATGCATATAAAGACCAGCTGCAATCATCCCTGTGATGATACTAATGATATTACAAGCTGTTTGTAAACCATATATGGTAATACCTTGATGAGCTGGATTAATAGTGAATTGACCTTGGAAACAATAAACGAAAACACCAAAGAATAAATAAGCAATAAAGATCAAAGTTTGAGCTAAAAATGCACCTTTCCAGAAATCCCATGGTCTTTGCATTTCTGCTAAAATTTCTGGAAACATAATTGAACCGGCATAAGCATAAATAATATTCATAACACCAACTAATTGATGCTCCATTGTACCACCTCCAATGAAAGCTTTTGTTTCAACAGGACCTTTAACAACATCATTTGTCTTGAAAGCAGCACTAAAATTTGGAGCTGAATGTGCAGCACCGCCCATTGTTAAAATACAAAGGGTAATGGTTGCATAAACTGAACCACTTGATAAGATACTATAAAGTTTTAAAGTTCTAATTTGACCTAATAAAATACCAGCCAACATGAAAAAAACAGCTAAAGCAATAAAACAAAATTTATCTTTAATAATTTGTGATAACCCTTGAGCAGATCCTAAAATTAATAAAGAAACTGCTAAAATTAAATAAATTGCATGCATTAACATAACCAAAATTTTACCAGCTCTACCCCAAATTCTAAAAGCTAAATCTGCAAAAGTTCTAACTGGATGAACTTCTGAGTTTAAATCCATAAATTGTCTCCAAATTAACATACCACAATAAACTGCAGCACCATAGAAGACCAAAAAAATGATTGTACCTTTCCCATAACCTAATGTTGAAAAGGCATAAGGTGAAGAACTTGGACCCAAGATATCGGAAGTAATTAAATAGAAAACTGACCACCAACTTGCCATTTTGGCAACTCTTTCAGCATTATTCTTTGGAGGAGCAGCATCTAATGGGATTCTTTCTTCATGAGCAGAATCATCAACATCAATTTTGGCTAATAATCTATCCACTGTTGATGATTTTCTTTCTTGAAATTCTTTACGACGTTCTAAAATTGCATAATATAAATAAGATTCTAATGGATATTGAACATCATGTGAATAATTTTCTGAATTTACATAACTTGATTGATCTAAATCAATAATTTCTTCATTTGATGAAACTAAATCATTTGTACTTTGGAAATTTGTTTTCAAATCTTGAGATTTTTCAGTTGAACTAAGTTCATGAACTTCTTCTTTAACTTGTGATTGTTTTTTATTAAAGAGTCCCATTGTGTATTGAACTGAATTCACAAAGAATCTACCTAGTATAAGAGATCCTAGACAGTGAGTTGAACTTATCAGGATATAAACATTTTTTTATAACTTTTCGAATAAATTTTGATAAGATTTGGGGTTGATAGACGATCCCGGTTGGTCCTAGTGTGTAAAGATTCAAACAACCAACAGTAAAACGTAAATCTAACTGGCTTTTGAAGACTCATTTCATTTGGAAATTATGTGATGGGAAATTTGGAAATTGAAACTCTTTTTACAGGACGTATATGCCAAATGCTGTTGCTTGTTATCAGTAGAATAACGTACGGCTTTGGAAATTGGAACAACCTATAACCTATAACCTTTAACCAAGATGAACCAGCATCAAAGCAAGAAATCTGATTAACTGTGTAAAGTTTAAACTATGGCTTCCACCGTCTATCAACACGGTGGCATGTCATGGCTTTTGATTAGTACCATTTTCACAACATAATAGACGGACGAGTAAACTATATTTAGACTTGCGCTATTCCCTTTATTTCCATTTTATTTCCAGCTTCAAATTTTTCAAACGTCTGATCGGGAAACTGCAAACTTTTGCAACAAACCAATAAAAGATATTTCCTCTGCACGGCGTCAAGTTATAACGAGTATCTCAGTTCAATAAAGTCAGTTGAACCACCTATCAGTTTTAGTTAACCGTTACCTAAGTTGTAAACCCATCGGATTTGTGATGGTTCAAATCTGTTCAAAGTTGTTCTTTAGTAGGGCGAAAAAAACTCTTTTGAAAGCCAAGATTCTCATTTGCATATACCAGTAGATTTATTATTTATCTGACACGTTTGAACTTTAGGTATAATTACTAATTGGAACTTGGAAGTAAACCGTTCTTAAACTTATCAGCTTATCAACTTATCATCAAAGATAAGTTCAACAGTACTTCATTTGAGGTTGCTTGATTGCTTTTGTTCTACTTTAATGAGGTAAAACTAAAAGCTTAACAATACAACGGGGATTGAGCACTATTGTGTAGTAATTATGTACGGCATGTAATATTAAGGAAACGTGATTCGTGAATATCAATGATCATGATATCATGAATCATGATCAATCAATCACGCTATATCTGGATCTAAGATCCACAGTTAATTGAAATTTGATGTTCATGAATGTAATTTATTAGTACATATACGATAGCTATATACGATAACTAATACCTCTCTCACTTTGTAGATTCATCATAACTTATTTTATTCATCATAACTTATTTTCAAGATTTATTGAACCTCTATTATACCACCATTCAATACCAACATTACCTCTTTGCATATCAAATCCTTCACTAATCATTTCCCATAATTTTTCTTCACAAAATTTAAATTCTATAGGATCGTTCATTTCAATTAATTCCCAAATATTTGATAACCAATTGGATAAAATTTGTGGTGGTAAATAAGGTAATGTTGATATTAAAGCTGTAATTAAAGCTGAACGAATTGATCCAGGTTGGGTTTGTTCTTCTTGTTGACCATTCTCATTAAGAATTGTTGATATTTGTAATGGTAATCCAGGTTTTGTATTTAAAATTGTTAAATATAAAGTATGTAATAATTCTCTTAAATTATCCTTATTTAAATGATAAGCTTCTGATGGTGGAGAAACAGCTCTTGCTATTGTTTCAATGGCAATCTTCAATTGTGTAGATGATAATAAGATTGGGAATTGTGATAAAACTGTATGTAAATAATTGATTGAACTTGATGCTATAATATGTGAATTTTTAGGTATATAAGTTGATATTATAACCGAATGTGCAGCTTCAATTAATGATTTGGAATGAGTTGTTGTGTGAATCACATAATCCACAATTGGTGTTATTATGGAATCATAATAATCTATTGAAGTATGTTGACTTAATGTTTCGAAAAATGTTAATGTAAATAATGTTTTAGAAATTTCATAATGATTAACTGAACCCAGGTTTAATTCTTTTGTGAATTGAATACCTAATTCATTTGCTTTTGGTAATGAATATTGAATCATTGCATCTAATGAAGTTATGTAAACAAAATTATAAGCCTGGAACCCGCCAGTACCTATTTTTTCCACGATATAATTCAAATGAAATAAAGTTTTCAAGATCAATCCACTGAATTGGGAGTATTCATTTGGTGTTAATTTATTATTTAAATTTAATGAATATGATACATAACCTTGGAAAATGATAACTAGACCAAAAAGAATATTTTTCAAACCATCCCATGATTGTACTGAATCAATGCTTCTTTTATGTAAATCCTTACTAAACTCAAGTATAATTTTCAATGAAGAATCTATATTCCCAAAAGATAATCCATTAATCATACAATTTTCTAAAAGAAATGATAAACGATTTAAATGTCTAATAACTGGTGATTTAGAATTTATCAATTCATGAACCGGTACACCAGAAAGACCCAAAGGTGATTGAAATAATAATGGAATAACAATATGAGTGATTGTTTCATGAGGTAAATGATGTTTTTGATGTTGATTGAAAAAAGGTAATGAACAAGCAAGTGAAATAACAATTAATGTATTAATTTCAAATGAGCTTATAGCTGGGTTTCCCAAATGTTTGATAATTAATTCATGATTTAAATTTGTTAATGATTGATAAATAGAATTGAAATATGATTTTGTCTCTGGGATTGAATGTGATTCATATAATGGTTTTGTTAATAATATACCAGTTATAACTAATATTTTGGTCCAATTTGGTGCTAAAGATTGGAATATGGAATCCACAAATACATGATAAAACTTGGTAATGGGTAATGAAGGTTCACTGATTATTAATTTTGAATCAAGTGTTGCCTTGATAGCTTCAATAATCATATAAGTTTCATCAATTTTAATAATATTCTCTGGGAATATAACTTTATTTGTTAAAAAAGCATCAACAATCAACCGAAGATTTTGTTCATTCTTAACCTTGGGGATATAATGTACCATATATGATAATAAATTAGTTGAATTGAGATTCCCAGGTGTTTTCAATATGGAAAGTAATAAATTAACATCATTTTGAGCTGAAGAAATTGGAGTTTGAAATTCATGTTTTGAAGCGTATGGTTGTTGTTGCAGTCTTTGTTGAACAGCTCTTCCTTGAGCACCTAGTCTGTACATCCTTACTCCCTTTTGATCCCTTTGTATTTGATCTGATCAGTGGCAAAAACAAGTTGAAATGAAATCAAATTGTCTTTGAAATCAAATTATCACTTTTTTCTCCAGATTTCAAAATTCAAACGATTCTTTCCGGGAAGTAAAGATAAAAAATTCGCGAATTGTGGTAATTTGTTATAAACATCAACAAAAAATCAATTTAAATACCAAAAGAATCCATCAATTTTAACAACTCGGATTATTCAATCATCATAATATCATAATATCACACAATGAGCTCGTCACTTCCCACAGGTTTCAAAGATCTACCCGTCTCCAAGGGCTTAGCAATATCTACAATCATCATACCCTTAGTTGCCTCCCTTTCCAATATGAAGTATCTATTTTATTATGCATATGATCCATTTTTGATACAATACAAGCAATTCTGGAGATTATTCACATTTCAAATAGCATTCTTAAATGAATCAGAAGTTTTACTAGGGATTGTCTTATTATATCAATTTAGATCATTAGAACGATTATTTGGTTCACATAAATTCATATCAATAATTATAGTTCTTTATGGTTATATAATTTTTATAACTTCAATAATTGCAACTTTAAATTTTTATACTGGATTAAAATGGATAAATTTCATGAGTTCAGGTCCAACAGGTATAATTTTAGGGATTTTTTTCCATTTTAAAGAATTTATACCAATAATGTATAAATTTGAAATTTATGGAATCGGTAATAATAAATTAATCTTGAATGATCATGCTTTTATACATTTGATAATTTTCCAATTAAGTATTTCACAAGGTTGGAAAAGTATAGGCTCTGGCTTGCTAGGTTGGATTATTGGTGGATTGGTATGTAGAGGTGTTATACCAGGTAAACAATGGAAATTACCATTTTGGAATTCAATTCAATTTAAAAGATCAAATCCAACTAATTTAAGAAGTAATTCACCACCTATAGATCCACAAAATTTGGGTAATACTGAACAAAATAATAGTGATAATAATAATATTGATGATGATGATGCTACAGAAACAAGACCATTAGCTTCCCAATTTTTGGATACATTTAGAAGGTCATAACATTAATATCTTTTTTATACATATTTATCTATATTTTCAAGTTTTTAGTTCCTTGTTCTGCTAATCTTATGTTTCTTCTTCTTTCAACATCCCAATTATATAATCTTGCAGTATTAACTTCCATTGTAGTAATATTTTCTCTTAGGAATTCTGCATCTTCTTCACTAATTTGTAAATTTTTTGTTGCAATTGATAATTTTTCATTCAATAATTCAATTGCTTCATCAATTGGATATTCTAACATAACATCTGCACCAAGCCATAGAAGAACTTTATCAGTTGGTTTTATTTCTGCAAGAGTATATAAAGTATCATTTAATTCATAATTTGTTTCAATTGATTCATCTGAATCTTTTTTAGTATTTAAAAATTCAACCATTGTTAAAGTATCTTTAATTTCGGGTATCTTGGTTTTATATTGTTGAACAGCATTCAATTTACTTTGTTCCATATATTTATATTGTTGTAATCTTTCTTGAAATATAGCTAATATTTTTTCAAAATCTGCTGCATCTTTAATATAATCTTCAACTTTTTCAACAAATGGAGCTTGAGGAATCCCTCTTGGATTTTTTTCTTTTCTATAGCGATGTTAGTTTGAATTCAATCAACTAGTATTATTACCAATACTTACGGATGAATTAAGTTATCCATTGTTGTCTTTATATTGTAATCTATCTAAAAACCACCGTATACATAGAACCAATATTCATTTGATTTCCATTAAAGATCAAAATCAAAATCGTCAACAAAGAAATTCGCGAGATTACTTGAAAAGAGCCCTAACTCTCAATATCAGCTGACTCTTCAGACCTATCACCTGACAGTTACAACACCTTAACACCATACCATTTTTCACGAGACTGCGATTTTCTTTAAAGTTTTTTTGAAATTTTTCAATTGTGTTCGCGAAACTCTGATTTCTGCTGTCATTTTTCACCGTGTAACCCAAATTTCTCAACGTTTGGGATTCCTTCTACTGAAAAAAAATTTAAAAACAACTTTATCAACTTTATTACCAACATCTTGTTTTAATTGTTCATCAATCAGATCAATAATCAATCATGGGTAGAGATCATACAACCAAACAACACGCCAGATCTGGTCACAGAGAAGCTCCAAAGTCTGATAACGTTTACTTAAAATTATTAGTTAAACTTTACTCTTTCTTAGCTCGTATGTAATGAAGCAAAAAAAAAATTTGGTCTCTAATTGTCATTACCAATTTGGTTGTAATGCAATACAACAATACTTTGAATTCATTTCATAATACGTTGTGAAGTGAGGGATGATGATACCATAATGGTGGATTCAACCAAGGTGATGTGATTTTTGAAAGAATTTTTTCAATATGGTTATTTTCAGCTTGTGGTTTTATGTTTCAAATTAAGGAATATAAGAAAGGGATATCTAATTTATACAATGTTTTCAGTGAAGATACTGATAAATAACATTATAGAAGACCCATCTAATTCTGGAAGCATAACCATCAACACTTTATAACCTTGAAAACTGTTTTTATTCAATAATCCTTCATCATTTCTGCAAGTGCAATTAAATTGTGCGACATTAGAGCAGAAAATTGAATTTTTATACTAACAAGTTATTAATTTTAGGTCGTACTGATGCTCCATTCAACAAAGTTATCTTAAGATCATTATTCTTATCAAAAATTAACAAACCTCCAGTTTCAGTTTCAAGAATTGCTAGAGCTTTAGGTCAAAAAGGTGCTTCAGAAAAAACCATTGTTGTTGTTGGTACCGTTACTGATGATAACAGATTATACCAATTTCCAAAAGCTACTGTTGCTGCTTTAAGATTCACTGCTGGTGCTCGTGCTACCATTTTAAAAAACGGTGGTGAAGCTATCACTTTAGATCAATTAGCTACCAGATCTCCAAAAGGTGAAAACACTTTAATTGTTAGAGGTCCAAGATCTCACAGAGAAGCTGTTAGACATTTCGGTTTCGGTCCTCATAAAAACAAAGCTCCAAGAATCCAATCTAAAGGTAGAAAATTCGAAAGAGCTAGAGGTAGAAGAAGATCTAGAGGTTTCAAAGTCTAATCTAATTAGTCTTTGGAAGTTCATTGATTATTTAAAAGGGATATTTCGATTGATGTATATATATTTAATGTTAATTTCGTTATGTCAATCTTAAGATTTTCATTTTAAGTTTCTTGTTTTAAAGAATTTGTATATTAATAATGAATATTGGGTTTACGGTTAAGAAAACTAAACTATTGTAAGCTCTTATATTCATTATCGATTTGTCTTTTTATTATCTTGGTTAATCCCAAAGACTTGACCTTGTATATCTACTAAATTTTTGTAAAATTGTACTAAGATTTTCTTGACTCCAAAATTCATAATCAATTTCAGAATTTTCACGAATTAATTGAATTGGTTTATTAACTTCATCATCTTTAATAACTTTGAAATTTTCTAAAGTTCTAAATGATGGACTATAATGAGCATTAGTTTCATATGATAATAATGGATGATCTTTTGTCCTTGAACTTTCCATGAATAATGAATCATCAATTATACTCCAAATCATATGGGTTCCAACTTGTTTTAAATATTCAAATGGATCTTGTCTTTGTGCACTAGTATTTGATGATGATATGTTTTTAGAAAATTTGATTAAATTTTGTAAAATTGATAATGATGTATGATATGGAATTTCTGTTTGGATACCAAAAGCAAATATTATTTTTTCAATTTGATAAGTTGATAAATTTGAACAAAATTCTGTTATTCTGTTCAATTCTTCAGTTGTTAATAATCCAGCTAATGAAGGTTCTCTTATTGTGAAATTTAATGGTTTTTTAAAACTATTTCTCCCGGGACTAATAAAAGTTCTTACGGATTCAAATATCCTACTTGATAAGAAATATAAATCAATTGATAAATGTGTTAGTTGTAATTCATTTAAAACACTTGTGAACTCATAATTGTTTGAGATTTGATCATCATCACCATCATCATAACTGAAACTTATTGAAGTTGGTAATCTTTGTTGTGTATATCTATATGATAATTTCTTTAAACTTGATTGGAAAGAATATAAGAATTTTTGGAAACTGTGTGATTTGGACAGTAAGGGGAAATTTCTTGTTGTTATATTTAGCTCTTGTATTTGACATGATGTAAATGATTGTAATGAAGATAATGTATTTAATGTTGATGAATCAATAAGTAAATCTAATCTTTTGAGGTTCTTAACATTGATTACTTCATTTGGTAATACAATTGCTAAATGATTAAGTTCCAATGGCTCATCTGTATCTATGTTATATTTATTCCCATCTAATATAGTTAACGATTCTATTTGATTCTTAATATCTTCAAGATCACTTAATGGCATTGTATTTGGTATTTCTAATTCCTTAATAAATTTCTTTGCGTATCTTATATTATTCCATCTTTGATAAGCACGCTCATATAACCCAGACCTTTGAGTTTCCATTTCATATTCACGGACCAATGAAATATAAGAGTATAACAAAGGACCTATAGCATTTCTAAGGTAATGATCAACTTGAGCAAGTGGTAATAATGTGGCAGAAGGATAATGGAAATGATGATCTGGTGAATGCTGGAATGGTTTAGGGTCTAAAATATAAAATATCTTGTGTAGTATCTCAATGGGGAGTTTATTTAGCATTGTTTTGTCTTTTCTTAGAATTGATTTGTATATAAACAATCAATTTCCCCAGTGTTTTTATTGTTTTATCTGAATTGTAAAAACTACAGCGGTTAATTACCGACAAGCCCTAATCAATATATTTGTAGTCAGATGACCAGTGCATGTGACTTTTGCTATAAAGCCCTAAGGGAGAGTGTGCTTTTTTGAAAATCTTTAGGCTACAGTCACAACCTGGACACCACTCCGGCACAAACTATTGTTTCTGTGCGTGTCTCTTTCACGCTCTGCCAAAACTCGCACTCGCTGGGAAGACGCTAGGCAGAACTTCTCATGAGCTAGACAGCGGTTAGTCAGCTCCTTCCCGCGATTTCTCTTCCCACCAAACAATCTGAATTTCTCGAAGCTCCCAAATGTTGGTGATGGTGGGAAAATCAAAAAGAATTTTAAACTGAAAAGTCTAATCATCAACACTTGATTGAAAGGTTCGATATCCATACAACAGAAGACAAAATGCCAGGTGTTTCCGTCAGGTATGTGGCAATAGAATCAAGAGAAGAGAGAGCATCAGACCCATATACTAGTTGAATCGTTTTGTAACAAAGTGAATGAAGTGAATTATCATGTTAATTGATTATTGAAAAAAGATTATACATATACATTTGAGAAGAATAATTATAAAGATCAGTAAGACTAGGGATATATTGGAGGAATAAGATATACAGAGAATGGACATAAAGACATAATATCATAATATAACTAGACTGGGATTAATCAAGCAAAAATTTGACCATTATTATAAGAATTTAAATTGTCGTGTCATATACTATAGTGAATATTTAAAGTACTTGAAAACAAACGCACATAAAGAATCAAAGATATCTATATTAATATAAACATTTGGAAGCATGCTCTCTTCTTCATCACTCCACTCTCATTGAATATCATACTAACAACCCTTATAGAGACGTTCCAGCTCAAGATTTCATTAACGCTTACGCTTCTTTCTTGCAAAGACAAGGTAAATTGGAAGTTCCAGGTTATGTTGATTTAGTTAAAACCTCAGCTGGTAATGAATTACCACCACAAGAAGCTGAAACTTGGTTCTACAAACGTGCTGCTTCAGCTGCTCGTCACATTTACTTGAGAAAACAAGTTGGTGTTGGTAAATTAAACAAATTATACGGTGGTGCCGTCAACAGAGGTGGTGCTCCAGCTAGACACGCTGATGCTTCAGGTTCTGTTAACAGAAGAGTTTTACAAGCTTTAGAAAAAATTGGTGTTTTAGAAATCTCTCCAAAAGGTGGTAGAAGAATCTCTGACAATGGTCAAAGAGATTTAGATCGTATTGCTGCTCAAACTTTAGAAGATGACGAATAAATTTTTCAACAATAAATAAATATAAAATATCATTTGGAAAATCATTATTATCATTTAACAAAAATTTAAAACTTGTATTGAATAGTATTTGGGGTGTTCTCTTAATTTAACGTTTTTAAAAGAAAAAAAAATCAGAAACCTTTATTTTGTAGATAATCTATATACATCTCGTTCAAAACTTATTTGGATCTTCAGGATCTATTTTAATAATCTTATCAGGATTCAATATTCTTTTTGGATCCATTGCAAATTTCAATTTTCTCATTAAATCTGTACTATTAATACCTAATTCTTCAATAAGATATTTTCTTTTACCAACACCAATACCATGTTCACCAGTACATGTACCTTCATTTAATATAGCTCTTCTTACAGTATTTTCACTAATTGTTTTAACTTTTTCATATTCATCTGGTTTATAAGTTAAAATACAATGGAAATTACCATCACCAACATGACCTAATATTGTACAAAAAACTTTTGATTTGGAAACTTCTTCAGATGTTTCTTCAATAACTTTTGAAAGTTTTGAAATTGGTACTGCAACGTCAGTAACCCAAACTTTTATATTTGGATCAATATGCTGCTTTGCATATTCAATTGTTGACCAAAATCCAATTTTTCTTGCAGTCCAAAGATCTTCGGATTCTTTATTTGATCCTGCGCTTTCAAATCCAATTGAATTATTTTCAATACTTATATCTTCAATTTTTTTAGTTAATTTACTTAATACACTTTCTTCAGAACCGCCAATTTTAACTAATAACGTAGGTGTAACTTTCCATTTTTTATTTAATTGACCACTTTTATTAATAACATCAATCATATTATCATCTAATAATTCCACTGCATTAACCACAATATCTTCTTGAATCAATTTAGTAACCATATTTGTAGCATCAACAATCTTGGGGAAACTAACAACACTAACTCTTTCAAATTTTGGTTTAACATGAACTTTTAAAGTAGCTTCAGTAACAATACCTAACGTTCCTTCACTACCAATAAATAATCCAGTTAAATTATATCCAGCACTTGATTTTCTTGGTCTATTTTTAGTTTTAATAATAGTACCATCAGCAAGAACAACAATTAAACTTAAAACATTTTCCTTCATTGTACCAAATCTTGCAGCATTTGTTCCTGAACATGAAGTACCAATCATCCCACCAATTTGACCACCAGGACCAGGATCAGGTCCAATCATAAATCCTTCTGGTTCTAAATATGCATTAAGATCTTGCCATCCAACAGCTGGTTGGACTGTTACATCAAGATCATCTTTATTGAATTGTAATATAGAATCCATATTACTTAGGGATAATAATAAACCAGGTTGTGTTGATATAAAATTTCCTTCAATAGAAGTACCTCCAGAATATGGAACAACAGGTATAGAATATTCATTTGCAATTTTCATAATTTGAGAAACTTCTTCAGTTGATCTTGGATAACAAATCATTTTAGGTTTTTGATTATCTTTTGGTAAATGAGTTGAATAAGAATTTGTTGCAAATGAATTTAAATCATCATTATCATAAGAAACATTTGATTCACCAATCAATTTGGAAATTTTGTTAAATCCATCAAACATATCAGCTCTGAAGGCATATTGTGGTGGTATTATATTATCTATTGGTGTTGTTGAAGATTCTGGGAATTTCCAATCTGGATTTGGTCTTGTAATTCCAAATGTGAAACCTAAAGTTATACCTAATCCAAACAATGAAGATCCGAGTATTATTTGTCTATTATCTTTGAGTATTTGTCTGATTGATTTTTTACCCTGCGACCTAAGAGTATGAGAAGTGCTGAAACTTCTTATTCCTCGAAGGAATTGGTTTCTGAACATGATTTGAAGTGTAGAATTGATGTAGTTGGTATAATGAAAGGTTTATCTATTGTGGAGTCATATAGGCATATCGTGAAAAGTTCAATACTTTGGAAATTCGCGGTAATAAAAGGAAGATATGGACAATCAAGTGCAAAGAAGGAAAGAGCGAGGTACAAAGTACTTAAAATAGATAGAAAGTTGATTTCATCTTTGTTCGAAGCTAATTTGTGTCCTGGTACTTAAATTACTGTGTGTCGTAGTTTAGTTTTCACTATCAAGTTGTATATCCATCTCTTTTTACTGGTGCAGCTAATCTTAGGCTCAGCTATTTCCACATGTTCTCAGTTCTAATTTTGTCTCAGCTTAAGATAAGCAGTGCTAAAAAGGCTTAGCTCGACATCAACCTAAAAGTAAGCTACAACACACAGTAATCTAGTATCTATCATATATCCTACACAGTACTTCTCTATCAAGGTTAACAAAACTAAAAACCGTTGCAGCCAAGAAGCCTGTCGATTAAAGCTTATAATTAAACTCAAATTTGATGTCTGATGGCTGCCCAAAGAATCGCCCGGTAAGCGCAGCACAGAGCGAACATTTAATAAAAAATTTAAAAACATGTTCTTTCTCCTCAACGCTTAAAGCTCAAAAGATTTTAAGAATCCATCATCAAATGTGCTAAGCGCTGGCTTTATATCTTACCATAGAGCTACACAGAGCTGTCCAGAGGCACTACAGAAAGAGGTAGACTACACACAAACGCTTTTCACAAGCTCACAGGTCCATATATGGTGACTATTCCAAGTTCCAAAGCGCTATCAACAACGAGCGGCAATCCACTTAGACTCGTTCTTATGCTAATTCAACACTGCTAATTAATCAAAAGAACGCGATATATTTATCAACTGCTGTCTATTGTCTAGGTTTATTGCTTTCTGTATACCTGCTTATTCATTATCTGTTGCTGCTATTATCAAAATAAAGCTAATTTAATTTCAATATTGAAAATCAAAATTTCAAAATGTCTGACGCTGAAAGTACACATTCACTCTCACCACATCATTCACATAGTTCAATGAAGACTGAAGGACTTTATGATCATCGTCATCAACCTTCTTCATTACCAGTTCGTCGTGGTTCAAGTGTAAATGAAGGTCAAAAATTACCTCCTCCTGCTTTAAATTTGAGAGAAATTCAAAGGGCAAAATTAAGTGTTGGTGATGATGACGAGTATGATGCTGATGAATATGCTATTCAAGATTCACCTGTTATTCAACCTTCAAATTATCGCTCAGATGCACAAATAAGACCTTCAAGATTAAGTCATTCATTATCTTCTGATCAACAAGGCCCAACTGATATGAATCCACCAACCCATGTCACTGCACATCAACCACAACAATCTACTCATCGTACACAACCAGCTGTTGTAAGAGGTAATGGTGGTTCATTGGCTGCTGCTGCAAGAAGAGGCCGTTCAAGATCAAGATCAAGATCTTTCACTGAACAATTAAGAACATTAGTTAATCCAAAAGACGAACAACAAGGTAATCAAACAACTCAAGGGATTTTATTAAATAAGAGTAACTCAACGAAGAAAAGACCTTCTAAAAATTCAGGTGAACCTTCACCAGTTTTATTACCACTAAATAAAACTTTATCACGTTCATCTGCTAAATTTAACACTGATCAAAATGCTATTGATAATGAAATGGTTGATTTTGATCGTCGTCGTCGTTTAACAAGAGCTTCCTTAATTGATAGCGATAATGATTCACATGCTTCAAGAGAATCTCAAGAAACTGAAGAAGATGTTTGTTTCCCTATGTTACCAGAACATGTTAAGATTAATGGTATTGATTTTGATGAAGTTGAAGAATTTATTAAAGAATCAAGAGCTGAAGCTGAAGCATTCCGTAAAGAACGTGAATTATTACAATCTTCATCTGAATCAACTTATGAACCAAAATCAAATCAACAATTTACATCAAGTGCAGCTGCTAAATATACACCTCAAAAGGAACATTCAACTTCAAATGGAACTTATTCATCAGATGATGAAAATCCTGGTGTTTCATTTGGTAATAATAAAGTTGAAGGTGAAACTACACCACCAGATAGATTTAGCTTTTTCTGTTCAGAATCTGATGAAACTATTCATGCTCCAGATATTCAATCATTAGTTAAACCAGGTGAATCTGTTAAAAGTTTATTTAGAAGTGGTCAACCAACATGGTGGTTAGATTGTAGTTGTCCAACAGATGCTGAAATGAAGGTCTTAGCTAAAGCATTTGGTATCCATCCTTTAACTGCAGAAGATATTCGTATGCAAGAAACTCGTGAAAAAGTTGAATTATTTAGATCATATTATTTTGTTTGTTTCCATACTTTTGAAAGTGATAATGAAAGTGAAGAATTTTTAGAACCAATTAATGTTTATATTGTTGTTTTCCGTGAAGGTGTGCTAACATTCCATTTCAATCCAATTTCTCATGCTGCTAATGTTAGAAGACGTGTTAGACAATTACGTGATTATGTTGATGTTTCAGCTGATTGGTTATGTTATGCCTTGATTGATGATATTACAGATAGTTTTGCACCAGTTATTCATGCTATTGAATATGAAGCTGATGCTATTGAAGATCAAGTTTTCTTAACAAGAGAAATGGATTTCAGTCATATGTTACAAAAAATTGGTGAATCACGTCGTAAAGTTATGACTTTGATGAGATTATTATCTGGCAAAGCTGATGTTATTAAAATGTTTGCTAAAAGATGTCAAGATGAAGCTCAAGGTATAGGACCTGCTTTAACTTCAAATATCAATTTAGCAAATTTATCATCTCAAGCATCAGGTTCATTCCATAATCAACAACATCAATCACATCAACATGCTCAACCAAGAGCTGATATTGCATTATATTTAGGTGATATTCAAGATCATGTTGTTACTATGTTTCAAAATTTATTATCTTATGAAAAAATTTTCTCAAGATCACATTCTAATTATTTAGCTCAATTACAAGTTGAATCATTTAATTCTAATAATAAAGTTACTGAAATGTTATCAAAAGTTACATTAATTGGTACAATTTTAGTTCCATTAAATTTAATTACTGGGTTATTTGGTATGAATGTTAAAGTTCCAGGACAAGATGGATCTAATTTAGGTTGGTTTTTCGGTATCTTGGGTGTTATTTTCTTATTAATTATTTTCTTTTCAGTTGCAGCTAATTGGTGGCTAACTAGAAAGGCAAGAGAACAAGAAGAAGCTGCAAATCCAGGTGCTGGTAGACGTTCAATATTAGGATTTGGGAAACCACGTAGAACAACTGCACCAATTCAAAGAGAAACACGTTCTATTTTAAGTTTCCCAAGTAGAATTAATCGTTATGATTGATTTTTATCCTTTTAAAATAAAAAGTTGGTTTTGTTGTTTATATTCTTTGTATCATTTGAGTTTTTAATTGTTATTTGTTTTACGTTTAAGCTATATACTTGTTTTGTTATTTTATTGCATGTTGATTTTTTCTTACTTGTTTAATTGTTGGCACAGATACAGATTTTTATATCATTTGTTTAATCTAAGTTAATATAATACTATGGCATACTTGATGATTTATGAAGTAGATTTAATAGACAAATTTAGTTTCTTTATAAAATTATTATTATCTTTTTTTAGCTAATTCAGCCGCTTTAAGTCACCTCACTTCAGAAAAAAAAAATACTAAAAAAAAATGCAAAGGGTCCAAATTTCTCCAAATTTCTACGAGGTGCGTTACTGGGTTGTGCATGTTCAGCTCTAGTTCTATTGTCTCAGTGGTCTGATTATCCCAAACAAATTCCACGGGTGTCTTATAGAAACTAGACTCTACATAGTCTATAAATATTACATAGTGGTTTCTGAAACAATTCTTATTGTTCTGCTAAGAAAAGTGATCAAAAGTTTTTCATGCTAAGCTTTTCTCGGGATAATATAAATACTTTAGCATCTGCTAAAAATTAGTTTCTTCTTCAATGTAATAAGCTTAACATTTCCAAATCATCTTAAATGGAACAAGTCGCTGGGTTTCATATAGCGATGATCAATACTGAGCAAATAATACTACACAGAACAATCACATCCATTTCTTACCCAAAACGCTAAGCTGCTAATTCAATCACATATATTCATTAAGAAAAGGGATCCCAAAGTTGCTAAGATGTCTGATGCTGAAAGTATTCGCTCCATTTCACCAACAAGATCCCTCAGAAAGCTTGAAAAAACTCAAGATTTGTATGATCATAGGAAACAACCTTCTTCATTGCCATTACGTCGTGATTCTGTAGTGAATCAAAATCAACAGGGCGCTTCTGAAGCTTCTAAAAATGCTAGGAGTTATCGTGCTAGTTCATTTGCAGGTTTTTCAAAAGATGAAGTTCATCAAGCTTTAAAGAAAAATTCTAATAAAAGAGGATCCATGGGGAAAGATGGTGCCGAAATACCAGATTTCGAAAATGCTTCACGTACATCTATGGAATCACAAGATACTGAACAAGATGTTTGTTTCCCTTTAGTTCCAGAAAATGATAAATTTATTGGTCATTATAAATTGGAAGAAATTGATACATTTATTCATGAATCAAGAAAATCTGGGATCAATGTTAATGATGAAGGATCAAGTGGGAAATCAGATTATTCACCAAGTGAAAAAATAAGTTCAGAAAAGGATTTTGATCAAGATGAAGTTATATTTGGTGCTAATAAATTTGAACCAAATACCAATACACCAAATCGGTTTAGTTTCTTTTGTGCAGATTCTGATAATACAGTTCATGGTCCAGATTTAAAATCATTAGTTGAACCAGGTGAATCAGTTTCTAAACTGTTTAAAAGTGGTGAAGCTACTTGGTGGTTAGATTGCAGTTGTCCATCAGATGTTGAAATGAGAGTTTTAGCTAAAGCGTTTGGTATCCATCCTTTAACTGCAGAAGATATAAGAATGCATGAAGCTCGTGAAAAAGTTGAATTATTTAGTACTTATTATTTTGTTTCATTTCATACTTTTGAAAATGATGGTGAAAGTGAAAATTTTTTGGAACCTATAAATTATTATATTTTAGTTTTCCCTGATGGTATTTTAAGTTTCCATTCTGAAGAAGTTTTACATGCTATAAATGTCAGAAGAAGAGTTAGACAATTAAGAGAACATGTCTCGGTTTCACCAGATTGGATTTGTTATGCCTTGATTGATGATATAACTGATAGTTTTGGTCCAGTGATTCATTCAATTGAATATGAAGCAGATGCTATTGAAGATCAAGTATTTTCAGCTCATGATTCAGGTTTTTCACAAATGTTACAAAAAATCGTTATAGCTCGTCGTAAAGTTATGATTTTAATGAGATTATTATCAAATAAAGCTGATGTTATTAAGATGTTTGCTAAAAGATGTCAAGATGAATTACAAAACCAATATTCTACTCCGGCACAAGGTACCCAGGTTCAACCAGGTGCAGAAATTGCACTTTATTTAAGTGATATTCAAGATCATATTGTTACTATGCATCAAAGTTTATTATCTTATGAAAAGATTTTTTCAAGATCTCATTCTAATTATTTAGCACAATTACAATATGAATCTTTTAATTCCAACTATCAAATAACTACAATGTTATCAAAAGTTACATTAATTGGTACAATTTTAGTTCCTTTAAATATTGTAACTGGGTTATTTGGTATGAATGTTAAAGTACCAGGTCAAGATGGTGGAGATTTTAAATGGTTTTTCGGTATTTTTGGTGTTTTAGTAGCTATTGTGATCACTTTAGTCATTGTTGGTTCTTATTATATGAATGTTAATGGACCAAATGATGTACAAAGTATTCAACCTTCATCTTCAAGACGTTCGATTTTAGGAAGAATGAGACCTGGTTCTATCAGAAGAGAAACAAGATCTATAATTAGTACACCAAATATGGTCTAAGTAGAAACAATTACATAACTACAAACTTTAGTTTCTTTTAAATACATAAATTTATTAAATTTCTTAAATATTACATAGTTTTGTGTTTTTTTGTAGTTCGTTAAAAAATGATGATCTATACTTTATTATGTTTTCTTTTTTTATTCTTCTTCTTTTTATCTTCATTTACTGGAATTTTAATATCACCTTCTTTATCATCTTCAACTTGTGGACCATTTTCATTTTTGAAAACTTTTTTTCTCCATTCTTTTAATTGTTTAGCTTTTGCTAATTTTCTTCTATCTTTAATTCTTTGATCTTTTGGTCTATATGGTGCATATTTTTTCAAACCAACAAATTCATTTAATTGAGTATCATCAGCAATTAAAATTTCTCTTGTTGTTAAACCAAAAGTTTCTGGTGAAACTTCACGATATTTAAAAGTTTCTTTCTTTTCTTTTGAACGACCTTCACGTTCTTCTTCAATTTGATCAACTAATTTTAATTTATTAGCTTCAACTGCCTTTTCAGCTAATTCCTTGAGACGTTTTTTCTCCTTCTTTTTATCTTTCTTTTCTTTTAATTCATCCTTTTTAGATTTCTTCTTTGGTGGTTCTTCAGAATCTTCATCTTTTTCTTTGGTTTCTTCTTCAGCTTCACCTTCTTCTTCTTCTTCACCTAAATCTTCACCTTCATCTTCATCATCATCTTGTTTACTTGGTTTGAAATCTTTCATAATTTCATCATCATCATCCCAAGTTGGTTTTTTAGCATCATCATTATAAAAATCATCATTGAAAATTTCTTGTAATAAATTATCCCATTGAGAATCATCAAAATCTTTATCAAGTAATGAATTACTAATTTTCTTAACAAGATCTTCATTAATTTCAGCACCATAATCATTTTTAATTTGTTCCAAGATATTAGCTAATTTATTAACTTTTTCATTTTTTTTCTTATTAATTTGTTTCTCTTGTTCTTCTTTTAATTTTTTAGCTTCTTGTTTCTCTTTTTCTCTTTTCAATCTACGACCACCAGTTTCATTTCTTCTAACTGTTGCTTGATTACGTGCATAACTTATAATTTCTGCAGCATTTGGATCTTCATATCTAAAATTATATGCATTTTCAAATTTATCAGCAGCATCATCAAATTCTTCATCATCTTCTTCACCTCTTTTATCTAGATTTATTATTTTATCACCTTTTTGTGGGATCCATGCATGTTTATTGGCAAATTCTAATAAAAACTTTTCTTCATCAACTTCTGGATTTGGTAATCTACTCTGAATTGATTCATCTTCTTCATCAGCTTTAGATTCTTTTTTCTTTAAAAATCCATCATCTTCATCATCATCTTCATTATCTTCATCATCTTCACCAGCTTGTGCAAATGCATTTTTAATTTCTGATAAAACTTCATCACGTTCTTCTTGTTTTTCTTGATCATAAGTCTTAAATTCTTCTTGATCTAATTCTTCATTTTCTTTTAATGCATCACCAGATAATAAATTCATTCTATGATAATCTTTTAAATAAATTGGTTTTTCTTTTTTAGAATTTTTTTCATTAGCTTCTTCTAATTCTTTAAAAAAACGAACTTTTGGATCAAATAATGCCTTATCACCAGTTTTAATAGCTTGTAAAACTTTTTCAATACCTTGATCAACATCTTCAGTAATTAATTCACCAAAATCATCTTCTTCTTCAGATTCTTCTGATTCTTCATCATTTGAATTTGAATCTTCTTCTTCTTCAATTTGTTTCTTTTGAGCTTCAAGTTTTAATTGTTCAGCTTTTTCAGCTTCTTCACGAGCTTTTTTAGTAGCAGACTTCTTTCTTGCCATGATTTAATAATTGTATTTATTTCAATTTTGATGTAAAGAATAAAAGGATTAGTAGAGAATTACATAGAAAAGTTTATATGCCAGAAATTTTTTTTAATTTAATTTTCCTTAACTATGGTGCTTATGTAATTCATTTGTCATGAGTTACCCTCTGAGATGAGCTGATAAGATTGGTTTCTAATTTAGTGATAAAAATTGTGATTTTTGGTTGATGTTATTGGTTAATGTTGATGATTATGACTTTTAAATGTGTATTTCAGTTGAGATAATCTTTTTTCTGGTCTTTGGAAGTTATAATGGCTTTATAGTATCAACTTGTGAATTAGGTTCAGCCTGCAATGTGATGAAGAAACATACACATACTCTTTAGAGTTATATATAGGACATAACTTATTTATTTATATTCTGTACTTTATACTCTGTCCTTCTTCACATGAACTTTAATTTCCAAAACTAAAATTCGAAGCTTTGGATCTTAATCAATCACTTTGTTATTAATCTCGGGTATTATCGCCTCAAATTTATAAAAGCCGGTGGAATTAAAAAATTTATTGACACAAAACCAAAAAAATTGAATAACAAACTTAAAATTAATCTTTTAGGTAAAATAACTATATCATATGAGTCAGATAAATTTTCTGAAGATATCAAAGTCAATATTTGCTTCATATTTGCTGTTTTAAATTTTACTAATCATTGATTTTCAGATTTTATTAATCATTAAATTTTTATTTTAACTTCAAAATTAAGATCTTTAAGAATTTTCAAATTTTTTTTTTCATTCAAAAGCTAATAATATTACATTCATTACGTTAATAGAAGAATTTCATCACTACTGGTTATTTTTTCAGGTTTCAAAGATGCTTTATTCACTGTCAAAAGTTCAATTTAATCTGCATTGGAGATTCCCGAGGGCATTGCATACTATTGAAGATGATCATTATACAATTTCAGTTCCAACAAAGATTAGGTTGATTAATGAAAGGGAGCAAATGCTTCAGCTGTTGAGGAAGAATAAGATATTAGCTCATTATGAGACAACATTAGGGTATGTTTTTTTTGTTATACTTTGAAAGTTATTACATTTTTAGATACAATACTAACAAAATCCGGGGTTAATATAGATCATCAGAAAGATACAGATTTTATGATGATTATAATTATTCATCAGAGCTTTACAAGGCTTTAGGAAAACCTTACCGTGGACTTTCTTTGTATGCAATTTTGAAAGCATTGAAACTGAGAAAGAAACAACGTCTATTACAACGTAAAAATGGAGGTTCAAATGGTGATACAGGTAATAATGGTGTTCCACAAGGTGGTGGTAGAAATTTCACTGTTGTATTTAAGAGTTTTGAATCTCAAGTTAAACCAAGTTCTCGTATAGTGAATTTAAGTGTTCCAAAGAAGTTGAGGTTGGTTAAACAAACAACTCAAAGAAATGCTGCCGTTCAATCAATTCTGTCAAATACACACAGGTCTGAGAAGATCAAACCTAGACCTCATAAATCATTAGCTGATATACTTTTCAATAATAGTGAAGAAGAGAATAACACCAAGGATGACCTTCTGAAGAAAAGACAAAGATCAGAAACTATTAAAGTTGAAGAAATGGGTGTTGAAATGAATCCTAAATCAATTATTACAACTCAAGTCAAGCTGGATGAAGTTAGCATCAAAGATGATGCAAGGTTTGAACCTATGGATGTTTCTAAAGCTGATTTTGATACTTCAAATCAGAAGTTTAAAAGACGTAAATCAGAGGAAGATACCAATGCTAAAGAAGAATTACCAGAAATCATTGGTAATTTCCACAGCTACAATCATAATCAAACTCACAATGATCATAACAATAGTAGTAATACCGACACAAAATATGACGATTTCACGTTTGGAATATCCAAAATGCATAATGTCCATCAAATGTTGGTTGAAATGTATCAAAAAGAGACACAAGATGATTTAGAACTATTAGAAAATGAATTGAAAGTTGCAAAGGAGAGAAGTCTTACAAGGTATAACAAGTTACGTCGCATCATGAATAATTCAACCACTGAGATTCAAGATTTGTTCCGTTGAAGACTGAAGATGACTTGAAGATGACCTTCCGATATAAGCATTGAATGTTGATAAATGACATAGCTGACATTCCATGTAGTCTTTAGCCAGTAGCCAGTAGCCAGTAGCCAGTCAAGTATCCTGGTTCCTGATTACGCATTCTTAAGGCTGTCTCGTAATTGAAAGTGTCGGACTGCTACAATCGCGATCATTGATTAAGTGAAGTGGAGACAAAAGTGGATAAGAAGCTAGAAAACATCACGAACTTTGGCGGTTATCTTGACAAGTTATCCAAGTTTGTGGTGGACAGTGAGGGTTGAATACGAGGAAGGACAAGGTGGGACAAAGATGGGACAAAGGAAGTGGGCGAGTATAAAGCTGGTGGTGAATCCATTATTCTGGTTTATTGTTGATGATTAGTTTGAGTACATCACCACGCTGTTTTATTATGCCTGCTCCAACTACAACTTCAACTTTTTCACAAGGTGCTATTGAAAGACTACAAACACTCATTAAGGAATCAGTGAAAGATTCTCATAGAGATATTCCTGGTGTTTCTGTTGCCATTACAAATTCAAAAGGTGATGATTTATTCCAATATGCTGCTGGTAAAAAAGGTGCAGATTCTGATGAAGAATTAACTACAGATTCTATATTTTGGATTGCAAGTTGTACAAAGCTTTTAGCATCTATTGCATTGATGCAATTAGTTGAAAAGGGGGTTGTTGATTTAGATTCCTCTGAACAAATTGAAAAATATATTCCAGAATTGAAAAATTTACCAATTGCCTCGAATGATGAAGAAACTAATGGATTAAAATTAAAACCAAGTACACAAAAAATTACATTAAGACATTTATTATCACATACTTCTGGATTAGGTTATTCATTTTTCAGTGATGTTTTGAAAAAATATACTAAATTTTTCCATATTGATGAATTTGATGTTAGTCATGAACGTGAATTATTATTACCCTTACTTTTTGAACCTGGTTCTAATTGGGCTTATGGTGTTGGTATTGATTGGGCTGGTGTATTATTACAAAGAGTTACAGGTCAATCATTAAATGATTTTATTACTGAACATATTTTGAATCCGTTGGGTGTCGAGGAATCAGGTATGGAACCTAATGAAACTTTAAGACAAAAATTTGTTCAAATGAGTTATCGTGACAAGACTGGTAAATTATCAAGTACTGATCATATTTATAAAAAAGTTATTGCAGGTGATTATGAAAAATATTTCCATTCAGGTGGTGCAGGAGTTTTTTCAAAACCAAAAGAATATATTAAAGTTTTAGCAACAATTTTAAATGATGGTGTTTCACCTAAAACTGGTGAAAGAATATTACAAAAGGAAACTATTGATTCAATGTTTGTTAATCAAATCCAAGAAAATCCAAATTTTGGTAGAGCTGGTATCGAAAGTGCAGATGAATTTTTAACAAATTCAATTCCTGATATTTATCCACAAGGTGATAAACCACAAGGTTGGGGCCTTTCAATGTATTTGAATTTACACAAGACATCAACAGGTCGTGGTAATAATTCAGGTTGGTGGTGTGGTTTAGCCAATTTATTTTGGTGGATAGATCGTGAAAATGATATTGCAGGCTTTGTTGGTGCTCAAATTTTACCATTTGCTGATTTAAATGTTATGACTTTATGGTTTAATATTGAAAAAGAGATTTATAGTGATCTTTGGAAGATTTGATATGCTCTGGAAGCACATGAATTGTATATTAATCGAGAATTATGGATTATGGATATTATATAATAAACTAGGAAAAATAAATGAGCTAATCTGTATACTGTGTAATATAATGATTTATAGACATATATATGAAATATATACATAGAATTATAAGAGATCAGTCCTTGCTCATTTGCTCACACGCACCTGGGGTACTACCTCATTTTATATATGAGTATAATTCGATTTAGTCAAGTACAGATCAATAGCAAAATAGTAGTACGAAGTCCGCGAACAAATTCCACACCCTAATTAACGAGCTGGTTTCATCGGTGGTTGCCAGTTGGGAGTTGGGAGAACTTGGAATCTGTTGGCTGTTGGCGGCGTGGGTTGGAGCTTCACCTTGATTAATTGAGTGTTTGAGCGTTGTTGAAAGCTGGAAGTAATGTTGGAATTAGTAGGATCATTCTAAGCCTAGATCCTAGATCGGTAAATCAACATGAATTTGACACATAATTAAGCTGAGATTGAGTTCACTTTTTTTTTTTCTATCCATGTGTATTGAAAAACTTCATGATATCTTGAAGATGATCAATCATTTCATTGATCTTACATAAAAAGAGGATGAATCCCGTTGGAACTTGGTAAACAATCCTGGTGTTTTATTAGCCTTATTAACAATTAGATATATCTCAAAGAATGTTTTCACAACAAACTGTTGAAAACTTACAGAACCTTATTAGTGAATCTGTAAAAGATCCTAAAAGAGATATACCTGGTGTTTCTGTTTCCATTACAAACTCAAAAGGTGATGATTTATTCCAATATGCTGCTGGTAAGGAAAGCGCAGATTCTGATGAAGATTTAACTACAGGTTCTATATTTTGGCTAGCTAGTGCTAGTAAATTTGTTACTACAATTGCCTTGTTACAATTAGTTGACCAAGGGAAAGTTGAACTAGATTCTTCAGATCAAGTTTCCAAATACGTTCCAGAATTATCAAATTTACCGATTATTTCTAGTGAAAAAAATAAAGATGAATTAAATTTTAAGCCAAGTAGCCAGAAAATCACTTTAAGACATTTATTAACTCATACTTCTGGATTAGGTTATACATTTTCCAGAAAAATTTTACAAAAATATGGAAAAGTTTTCAATATTAATGAACTTGAAGCTAAAAATGAGCGAGGATTGTTATTACCATTGCTTTTTGAACCTGGTACAAATCTGGTTTATGGTGTTGGTATTGATTGGGCCGGTGTATTGCTAGAAAGAATCACAGGTAAATCATTAAATGATTACTTGATTGAAAATGTTTTCAATCCTTTAGGTATAGAAGAAACAGGATTGGAATTTGATTCAGAAACTAGAAAAAAATTTGTTCCATTAAGTCATCGTGATAAAAAAGGTATATTATCAAGAATTGATCATGGTAATAAAAAACTATTTGAAGGTGATTATAAAAATGCATTTCAAGCAGGTGGCTCAAGTATTTTTGCAAAACCAAAAGAATATATCAAAATTTTAGCTTCAATCCTAAATAATGGTGTTTCACCTAAAACTGGTAAAAGAATATTACAAAAAGAAACTGTTGATTCATTATTTGTTAATCAAGTCCCACAGTTTTCAAATTTTGGTAAAGATGGCATTAAACATGCAAATGATTATTTAACAAAAGAATTAGCACAACTTTATCCACAAGGTGGTAGACCACAAGGATGGGGGTTTTCAATGGTTATTAATTCAGAAGGATCAGAAACTGGCCGGGGTACTAATACCATTTGGTGGTGTGGAGTAGCTAATTTATTTTGGTGGATAGATCGTGAGAATGATGTTGCAGGTTTCCTTGCAACTCAGATTACACCATTAGTTGATGTTAATGTTAAGACATTATGGGTAAAAATTGAAAAAGAGATTTATTCGGATCTTCAAAATGGTAAATAGAATCCAATAGAATTGAATGAAATAGAGTAAAATAAGTTTAAAGTGTTCATTAACTTGAACGAGTATAAAACATGAACTTGTAAAACGAATTCGCGGCTCATCGATGAGTGTGTGGACAAACCGAAAATTTCTTAAAAAAAATTTAAATTTATAAGTAAAATTTTCCAAAGGTGCATAACTGATTAATACTTATCAAGGAATTTTTGTTTATATATCAGAAAACCAAGAATTTCAAAATGACTGAAGACATTAAAATAAAGAAGAGAAGATCTTCAGATGAAGATGATAAATCCATAGAGAAGAAAAAATTGAAGAAGGAAAAGAAGGAAAAGAAGGAAAAAAAAGATAAGAAGGATAAGAAAGACAAAAAGGAAAAGAAAGATAAAAAGGAAAAGAAAGAAAAGAAAGATAAAAAAGAAGACAAAGAAGAACCAGTTGTTGAAGCTAAACCAGTTACCAAATCAACAAGTTCCACTTCAGGTTATCAAGAAAGTTCAGAATTATCAGCTGTCCCACAATCTGATGTTGATGCATTTTATAAAGAAAATGATGTTACAGTTGAAGATCCAAATTCTTTAAAATTAAGACCATTATTATCATTTTCTCATGTTCAATTTGAACAAAAAATTCAATCAGATATTGCAAAATTCCCAAAACCAACTCCAATTCAATCAGTTTCATGGCCATATCTATTATCTGGTAAAGATGTTATTGGTGTTGCAGAAACAGGTTCTGGTAAAACTTTAGCATTTGGTGTTCCAGCTGTTGATAAATTAATTAAATCTGGTGACTTAAAACCTGTTCAAGTTCTTGCTGTTTCACCAACAAGAGAATTAGCTTCACAAATTTATGATAATTTGAAAACTTTAACTGATAAAGTTGGATTAAATTGTGTTTGTCTTTATGGTGGTGTTCCAAAAGAACAACAACGTAGAGATTTGAAAAAAGCACAAATTGTTATTGCAACTCCTGGTAGATTAATTGATTTGATGAATGAAGGTTCAGTTAATTTATCAAATGTTCATTATTTAGTTTTAGATGAAGCTGATAGAATGTTAGAAAAAGGTTTTGAAGAAGATATTAAAAATGTTATGAGAAGTACTACACATAAAGCAAGACAAACTTTAATGTTTACAGCAACATGGCCAAAAGAAGTTAGAGAATTAGCTAGTGGTTTCATGAAAGAACCAGTTAAAGTTAGTATTGGTAATAGAGATGAATTAAGTGCAAACAAGAGAATTACACAAGTTGTTGAAGTTGTTGAACCTTTCAGTAAAGAAAACAAATTATTAAGTTTATTAAAACAATATCAATCAGGCTCTAAAAAAGATGATAAAGTTTTAATCTTTGCCTTATACAAGAAAGAAGCTTCAAGAATCGAAAGATTATTAATAAATAAAGGTTATAAAGTTGCAGCAATTCATGGTGATTTATCACAACAACAAAGAACTCAATCATTAGATAATTTCAAAAAAGGTCATTCTAACCTATTATTAGCTACAGATGTTGCAGCAAGAGGGTTAGATATTCCAAATGTTAAAACTGTTATTAATTTAACTTTCCCATTAACTGTGGAAGATTATGTTCATAGAATTGGTAGAACAGGTAGAGCAGGTGCGTATGGTACTGCCCATACTTTATTCACTGAACAAGAAAAACATTTAAGTGGTGCTTTAATCAATGTTTTGAAAGGTGCTAATCAACCAGTTCCTGATGAATTGTTGAAATTTGGTTCTCATACAAAGAAAAAGGAACATGGTGCTTATGGTGCTTTCTTTAAAGATGTTGATATGACTAAAAAGCCAAAGAAGATTACCTTTTAGTGATAAATATAATATTGTAATATAGAAACAAGTTTTGAAAAGTAAATTGAATATTTGTAGGTACATTGAATAATATTTGAAAATTCGCGGGTATTTTCATGGGTAAATACTTTGAAGGCTTTTACATTACATTCTAATTATAGTATCTCTACTTTAAAACTATGGAGATGACCATAAAAATACTTATAGGTTTATTGACTCAATATCTAACTCAACGATTCACTCAAAAAATCGCTCAAAACTCTCAATATTTTGCGTGACTTCAAAAATCATCACATAGTTTGAGCAGTATTAATGAGCATATAAATATACCCGTGAAGGCATGACAGTTCATACTAATTTTACTCATTAAATAGAGCTCAATTTGATTATATGTCAAACTTGTAAAGAAAAACTATATAAGCCTCCAAGAATCTTTCATTTCATTTTATTTTTCTTTCTTCTTCACTTCAGAATTTCATAACATTAAACATTCAAAACATCAAACATTCATAACATCAAACATTCATAATCATATAAACACTTAACATGACAGAACCATTAGAAACTAAACCCCCAAGTTCAACTAAGATTCATAAGTGTGTTACACTCTTACTTAAAGTCATCACTGCTGAAACACTATACAACGCTTTAAAAAAAACTGGTATTGTTACCCCTGATGCATTCTGTGAACCTACACTTGAAAGTATCTCACATTATCTTGAGCTTTGCTATGATGAAAATATTCAACCTTACGTTACGAATTTCAATTGGAAACTACAAAAAGTTGGACTTTGGTTAAGATATCATATTTCAAAGCCTTTCAATTTCTTAAAGATTCCTTTGAGCTCTTTTCATGAGAAACATACAAGTTCAATCATACGTTTTAAATCATTCTTCAAATCAATTAAAGAGAAATTATCATTGACAAAAACATCATCAGTTGAAGAACTTCCATCCACAAACTTCAAATCATGTTTTCCTATTGAGATTTGGCTTTTGATTGTTGAAATTGGTGACGTTGAACCTGCAAACTTGATTAGAGTGAACAAAGATTTGTTCCAAGTATTTGCTCCAGTGGTTTATCGCTCAATCCATTTAGACCTTTTCATTAGTTCAAGTGAGATTCTCAAATTGAATCATTCTCATTGTATGAAATTTGCAGACTCTTGTTATTTCCAATCCTCTAATCCATATCAACTTTATAACGATTGGAAGGAAAGTCAACATTCTGATTTTGTTTTTTGGATATTAGACATAGGGAATTCCCAAATGAGAAAACAACTGATTTAGAAATCATTCTTGAAAATGGCTATACAATAACTTGCAAGAGTAGAGTAATCAGAAATTTTGAAGATGTCTATAAATTTCTCATTAGAACCATCTTGAATGAAAACTCTATATTTTTCAAGTATATTGAAGAGATTGCAACTAACATCACCGTTATTGATGTTGATGGGTACAACACTTTAATCAATGGAGATTTTGGTCAAACACTCAAAGATCTTTCAGGTGGTGAGTCTCAACTTATTTCTCTTGAAAGTCGTGCATTCAAAACTTTTGAATTTGATCATGAACTACATAAGAACCCAATTTTACAAGGTGTTAAAATTCCAGAAGAAGACTATTTTGTCTTTGAGATGATAATGGAAGATGAATCATCTAGGTTAGCAACTTGTTCTTTCCCAGACAACCCTTTCTACAGAGAATTGGTTATCATAGGTATACTCTTAGACAACAATCGAAATGATAAGAAGAGAATGCAACTAAATGCTTCAAATTTTACAACAGACTCAGATGCATTTGCAATTTGGAAGGATGAATGTTTATCACTCCACGATTATTTTTCAGAAGGCAAAGCTGAAGAAAAAGGTCCTATTTCAATAGAAGTAATGAAACATAAATTCATGAATGATATTCAAACTAATACTTTCTTGACTAGATTCATCAAATCCTTAGCTTTAAAAGGCCGTAAAGAAGACTTGAAAAGAAACACAGTGATGATTTCTGGTGTTGATAAAATCACCAGAGGAAGAGACAGGACGTTAAGAGGTACATTTATTGATGAAGACAATATCCCCTATATCAATCATCCAGTGATCACTTTCATTGATGACTGTACAACTAAGTGATTCAGCACCACGAAGTATATAGATATAAATAAAAATCCATACAATAAACTTCAGCTGTCTGGTTTGTTAAAGACCGCATCTGATTTCAACCATAATAGTGTTACTATATCATTTGTGGCCAAATTTTGTCCTCTTCTGGATTACCTACGTAATTAAAGTTTATAGGTTTGACACATTCTTTAGTATTTGGTATTTGATTTGGTTTGTTAAAGTATTTGATATAGGGCCCTTTCTTAACTATGGTGTGTCCCCTTTACAAATTTGATCTTTTTTTGTATACGATTCAGATTTCACAGCCATTCTGTTTTTAAAAAAACGTTCCATTTTGCAATTAAACGAACTTGACACAGTTGAGATTTGGATCAGATCACGCTATTTTGGTGAACCAGCAGTTGGTATATAAGACTAGAGAAGGGTCCTGTTGAAAAAAGCTAGGAGCTACACAGACTGGTTAGGAAAGAGTTCAAATGTCCAGTTCCAAAGTGCTCTCCAGAGGTGAAATCGAGCATCGTATCGCTTTAGGTGATGCCATTGTGATCTTTGAAAACTCTGTGCTTCGAATGAACAAGTGGTTGAAGTTCCATCCTGGTGGTGATAAGGCCGTGTTCCATTTGGTCGGGAGAGATGCTACTGATGAGATGATTGCGTACCATTGTGATGAGACCCAAGCCACGTTCAAAAGATGGAAGATTGGTGAAATCAATTATAAATGGATCAATTTTGTGCCGCCTATTCAAGGTGGGAAGTTCAGAACTTTAGAAGAACAAGAGTTGGATGAAATTAAAGAGGAACAACTGAGTAGATCACCAGCTTCACCAGCTTCAAATTCATCTTCAAGTGAAGATTTGAAACTTTCATCTTCAACTGATCCATCAGATGTTGAGGATTCTATTGATACAAAGGCCGAGTCCTCATCAAATTATGCAAAACAACAACAACAAAAACAACAACAACCAAAATTAAACACCACAGCGGGTCAATGCTCAGAAGTCACCAAACCAAAGATACCACAAGGACTTATACCGTCTTTATCAACAAAAGAAGCATATGAAAGGAAAGTTGTTAAAGATCCAAGTGATGTTATTGATAATTATGATAATGGTCAAGTTGAACAAGATTTAAAATCATTACCTTCATTAGATTATGAAACTCAAGAACATTTATCAAAAGAATATAATAAATTACATGATATAATTATTGAAAATGGATGGTATCAATGTCCTTATTGGGAATATGCAAAAGAAGCTACAAGAATTGCAACTTTATTTAGTATTTCATTCACACTACTTTATTTTAAATGGTATTTCCTTAGTGCAATTTTCTTAGGTTTAGCATGGCAACAATTAGTTTTCATTGCACATGATGCAGGTCATATCTCAATAACACATCAATATGAAACTGATAATATAATTGGTATGATTGTTGCATCATTCATTGGTGGATTATCATTAGGTTGGTGGAAAAGAAATCATAATGTTCATCATCTTATAACAAATGATCCTGTTCATGATCCTGATATTCAACATTTACCATTTTTTGCAGTTTCAACAAGATTATTTGGAAATGTTTATTCAACTTATTATGAAAAATTTTTATGGTTTGATGCATTTGCTAAAAAATTAATTCCAATTCAACAATTTATGTATTATCCAATTTTATCATTTGGAAGATTTAATCTTTATAGATTATCATGGGAACATGTTTTATTTGGCCAGGGTCCAAGACATGGTAAAGCTGCATGGTTTAGATATTTTGAATTAGTTGGATTAACTTTTTTCAATTGGTGGTTTTTTTATTTAATTGTTTATAAATCAATTGAATCAAATTCATCAAGATTTATGTTTGTTATGGTTAGTCATATAACAACAATGATTGTTCATGTTCAAATCACTTTATCACATTTTGCAATGTCAACATCAGATTTAGGAACTTCAGAAAGTTTTGTAAGTAGACAAATAAGAACAACAATGGATGTTGATTGTCCAGGATGGTTTGATTTTTTCCATGGTGGATTACAATTTCAAGCTATTCATCATTTATTCCCAAGAGTTCCAAGACATAATTTCAGAAAAATTCAACCTTTAGTTATTGGATTTTGTGATAAAGTTGGATTAAAATATTCAATTTATGGATTTGTTGATGGTAATGAAGTTGTTATTAATAAATTATCAGATATTGCTAAACAAGCTAAAATTATGAGAGATTGTCATAAAACAATGAAAAAAGAAGCTATTGAAGAAGGAAAATACTTTGAATTCTGAAAAAAGCTGAAAGGGAACTGAAAGACTAGAAGCTTCGCTAATTTATTTATATTAATACATATTTATAGATCTGGATCAAAATATTGTGTAAAGAATATGTTCTGTATGAATTGATCATTTATATTGTTTATATTGTTGTTGTCTTGACCGATTCTGGCTATTTTTCTTTTAGACAATATAAAAACAAAACGTCATTAATAAGAGAATCATCAGATCATCAAATTTAGTTCATAAAACTCATACTTTATTAGATCAACAATACTCAATTATAGATCATAATACCAGGTTATAATTGAAGAAAATGCCTGAAAGTACATTCACCAATTCACTCAAAGGTTTTTTCAAAAAACAAAAATCGCCATCTCCATCCCCAGAATCAAACACATCATCAAAATCACCAAGTATAAGGAATAATGCATTATTCATAGAAGATCCACCATTAACACCCCTTGAACTTCATGGATACTCCAAAACTACTAAAAACAAGATTCTCACATTGGAATTGGGTGAAGAAATAAGGAATATGTTACCTTCAAGACATCAAGTTTCATCAAATTGGGAATTAGTTTATAGTTTAGAGCAACATGGAGCCTCTTTAAACACTTTATATTCAAATATTAAACCATCAACAAAATATGATAAGAATGGTTATTTATTAGTGATTAAAGACCAACGTGGAACAATATTGGGGAGTTATACAAATGAACATTTTCATCCAACAGATATGAAGAGATTTTATGGGAATGGTGAATGTTTCCTTTGGAAATCAAAATTAATAGATAATAAAGAATCTGGAGAGAAATTTATAAGATTTCAAGCATTCCCATATACAGGATTAAATGATTTCATAATATATTGTACAAGTAAATTCTTATCTTTAGGTGGTGGTGATGGTCATTATGGACTCTGGATTGATCAAGAATTATTACATGGTGTTAGTGATCATTCTTTAACTTTTGGAAATGAACCATTGAGCTCTCAGGGGAATAAGTTTAGTATATTAGGTGTTGAAGTATGGAGAATATCATGAGATTGTTGTACTTGTGTTTTGTTTTCGTTTTTATTCGGGTTGTGGTTATATATATGGGTTGTTGTTTAGTTTTAATATATTACAAAGGAGAGGATAAATATAAATATAAATATATTCATTAGTTTTCATGGTCATTATATGTAAATCTTTGCATCATCATTATCATCATCATCATCATTTTTCTTCGTTATTTCATCAATATTAATATTTCTTGATAAGATTTTATCTCTTGATTGAGAATATTCAATAGGATGATTTGTCTCCAGATGTTTCCTTATACCAGAAACATGTTGCTGTGTCCATTTTAAATCCTTAACCACTTGTCTCAAAGTTTTCAAACCATCTTTAAACCTTTTTTGAAATTGTAGTAAACGTTCTTCAGCTTCTTGTTGTAATTGAATCAATTCCAATTCTTTCCCTTTCAACGCTCCAGAAGTCTGAGCTTGGATCACCATGGACCTATTCATCTCCATACTTGTCAAAGCATTCTCTAAAGAGTCGTTTAAATATTCAACAGGATCAAATTCTCTAGTTTCATGGTCTTCATCAATTGAATCCTGATAACTATCAGTGGACATCTCTTCAACATCGCTAACTTCCGTCTCAGGCACCGCAAACGTTTGGGAATTGATACTCGGTTGTCGTCTGTGTCTGGTGGTCATCTTGGTGATAATCAATTGCCTTTTAAGACACTTTTTTCCCGTAGTTTTCTGGTCTCTTTTGAGTGTCTTTTTGATTGTATTTCCAATGAATTTCCAAATGCTCTTTATTATTTTTACGCGAATTTGAACTTTCGGAAAAAGGCCAGAAAAAAGACAACCCAAAACAAAATATCAACACATTTGACAAACAAAAGACTCATTCAATCAAGAGCCAAGCCTAGGTTATAACAAATGAGCGTATGATTATACAATGTCCAGTCAGACAAGAAACGAAGTGAAAGCAAGATTGAGACCTTTCGGGATCGTTTTTGAGAAAAGTCTCTCTGATTTGGTTAAAGGTATAAGATCACATAAGGATCCAGAATCACAGGCAAAATTCTTACAAGAAGCTATTCAAGAATGTAGAAAAGAAGTTCGTTCAAGTGATATGGATTTGAAGACAATGGCTGTTTTAAAATTGGCATATTTGGAAATGTACGGGTTTGATATGTCTTGGGCTAATTTCCATGTTTTAGAAGTTATGAGTTCTTCCAAATTTCAACAAAAAAGAGTTGGTTATCTTGCTGCTATCCAGGCATTGAAAAATGATAATGATGTATTAATGTTGACAACAAATTTATTGAAAAAAGATCTTAATTCATCCAAAAGTGTTGATGTTGGTGTTGCATTAAGTGGGATTTCATCAATTGTAACAACTCCATTAGCTTCTGATATTACAGATGATGTTATCAAGATGTTGAATCATTCAAAACCATATATTCGTAAGAAGGCTATATTGACAATGTTTAAGATTTTTTTAAAATATCCAGAAGCCCTAAGAACTCATTTACCAAGATTATTTGATAAATTAAATGATGAAGATCAATCTGTTGTTACTGCAACTATTACTGTTATATGTGAATTATCCAAGAAAACTCCTAAAGTGCTGATCAACTTAGCACCACAATTATATGATTTATTAAACACTTCAAATAATAATTGGATGTCTATAAGATTGTTGAAATTATTTTCTTCATTGACCTCGGTGGAACCACGTTTAAAAAATAAATTATTAAAACCTGTATTAGAATTAATGTCAACTTCAAAAGCTTCATCATTAATTTATGAATGTGTCAATTGCTTAGTCACGGGGAATATGATTGATGAAAATGATTATGAAGTTGCTAATTTATGTTTAGAAGAACTTGTTGAATTTTTTAAAGAAAAAGATCAAAATTTAAAATATGTTGGATTATTAGCTTTTTTCAAAATTGGTAAAATTAATCCAGAATTTATAAGTTCATATTCTGAACATATTTTGGAATATCTTGTGGATGATGATTTAACAATTAGAGAAAAAGCATTAGCTATTGTTGATGGTATAGTTAATGATGAAAATTTATTTCAAATTGTTAAATTATTAATGATTCAATTAGTCCCACCACAAGAGAATGAAAATGATTCCAATATTGAAGATCATGGTGATTTAAGTTCATATTTACCACAAAATAAAAATACACCAGTAGTACTTACAGATCAATACAAGACAAATATAATTTTAAAAATTTTGGAAATTTCATCAAGAGATAATTATTCAAATATACCAACATTTGAATGGTATATCGCAGTTTTAACAGATTTAATTGATTTATCAATTGTTAATAATTTAATTACAGGTTATGAAATTGGTGAACAAATTAGAGATATTGCTATAAGAGTACCAAGTATTAGAGGACAAATTGTATCAACAACAATTAAGATTATAACTAATGAAAATATTGTCTTGAAATTACCACAAGTCTTGAAAGAATGTATTTGGGTTGCTGGAGAATATTCATCATTTATTAAGAATGGTGATGATTTGATTTATAAGATTTTATCATTTGAGAATAAATTAATTCAATTAGATTCAGAAATTTTATCAATTTATATACCTGCAATTATGAAAATTTTTAATAATTATGTTAATAAAGATTCAAATTATTGGGATAATGATAAGGCTGAAATAATTTTAAAAATAACTAAAAAAATCATTTTGTTTTTCGAAAAATTATCTATATCAAGACATTTTGAAATTCAAGAAAGATCTGTTGAATTTTTAGAATTTTTAAAATTAATAATTGATGCTATAAATGAACATGATTCTAATGCTATAGAACCTCCTTTATTATTAACCGTTGCATTACCTTCTTTTTTCAATTCATGGGAATTAAAACCAATTTCACTAGGTTCACAAAAAAGAATTCCAATTCCTGGTGATTTAGATCTTGATACTGTGATAAATCCAGATGTTTGGGAAGAATTAATTGATCAAGAAAGTGAAGATGAAAGTATTATAGAAGAATTTGAAGAAGGTTTATACGAAGATCAAGGTGGCTATGAATTAGATGATCATGAAACATATATTGGTGGTAATGGCAATGGTAATGGTATTGAAAGATCACCAAGTGAAGAAAATGAACGTCGTAAAAATGAAAGATTGGAAAGATTAAAAGATGATCCTTATTATTTATCAAATGATTCACATTCACAAATCTTATCACCTAAATCTAGGAATGAATTAATTTCACCGACTCCAAGATCTTTAACTCCAACTTTAATTGAGATTGATGATGGTGTATTAAATGGTCATAAATCATCATCATTAATTAATAAATCTGATAAGAAATTGAAGAAAAAGAAGAAAAATGTTGTTATATTGAGTGATGAAGTTATTGGAGGTGTTGATCAACCAAATTCAGATCCTGATTCTGATAGATCTAAACCTATAAAACCAACAACAACCAAAAAACGTAAAAATGTATTAAAAATTGATAGTTCTAATTTAGATAATTTTGATTTTGATTCACCACCAGAACCTGAAAAAGATGAAGGATTATTAGAAGTGGAAAAATTAAGGAAAAAATTAGAATCAAATTCCATAACAAATCAATCATTAGATTCAAAACCTAATGATGAAGTTATCGTAATTAGAAAAAAGAAGGATAAAAAGAAGAAGAAACCAAAAACTGATGAGAATGGGAATCCAATAGAGAAGAAAAAGAAGAAGAAACGTACAACAACAAGTACAGAAGGTACATCTGAACAAGTTGAACCAGTTGAACCAGTTGTGAATCCAACTGATGAGTATTGAGCTTCATATAATGTGTATATAATGAATATTTAAATCGATATTTATAGCATAGACATAGAAATTGTTAATTGATTAGCACGCTAAGAACTGTAAAATTAGCCGCTGTAATAACAATATAAAAAGGGTTCAAATTTCCCACTTTTTCAAGAAGAAATTAATATATAATTAATCAAAAGATTTTAACAGAGAATGTTCCTTTTTTTCAAACCAACATTTGAGGATAAAATTAAGGAATTTATAATATTGAATCCCACATGTTATAAATGAAATGATCAAAGATGAAAGTAATTTTTAAAGATAAGAGGTTTGAATGGGCCTTATTCAGGCTTTACATTTGATGGTTTTCAAAATTGTGATCATTATTATATCAATAATAAGTTGATTCATTGACAGCTCATCAACCGCCATAATGTTACCTGTGATAATGATAACAATATCAAATTATACACAATCATTTAACCATCTTTAAAATCCAAATTGTAGTATTCTCTCTTTGTTGATTTAACGCGTGCGCGAACGCGTCTATGTATAAACAAAAAAATATGTCAAAAGATCATCAAATCAACAAATCTATCAAGTTTCAACTACAAGAAGACAAGGGTAAAAAGATGTCTTTCTTAGCGGTGATTGAAGGAACAGAGAATAAATCCATTTGGTGTCGATCCATCTCATCATTAGCTACAATATCAGACCAGATCCAATTTGTTATTAGTGAATCAAAAGTAAGTTAGTTAGCCGCTCAAATGTTTGAAATAGATTACTAACTATTGATAGGTTTCTTTATCAGCTATAAACATAGCTCATGTATCTCATGGTGAAATCAATTTCCAAAAACAATTCTTCAAGAGTTTTGTATTCAATCACAAAGGTTTTGAAACTAGTGAATTAGATCATGATGAAAATGATGAAGTTATTTATTGTTTTAGTATAAGGTCCAAGATATTATCTGTATTATTCAGGAAAACTGATGATGATATCGAAAGTTATAGAATTGCATTGGAAGGTCAAGGGTACAAGTTGAATGTTGAAGTAAGGACTAAATCATTGATAAGGAAACAATATAATCCATATTATCAGATGTATAAATATGATAAATTAGGTGTTGCTAAACGTTATAAAGATTTATTTATCAAGCAGAATAAAAGATTGGATGATGATGAAGATGATGATGAAAATGAAATCAATTACCTAATGATTGATAATCATATATTGAAAGGGTTTTTAGATAATGTTAATTCATCAAGTACAGAAGATTTTAAATTAGAAGTTAATGAAAAAAATTTTAGTATTACAGCATTTACAAAAGGGATTTATATCAAAGAGAAAGAAATTTTAAAACAACCAATGGCTATTAATATCATATTTAGTACTGAAGAATTATTAGACCTAAAACTTTGGTCTTCAAACACCCAAGATAAACAAATTATTTATAGATTAAAAGATTTTAAAACTTTTTTAAACTTGGGTAATGGTTCAGATTTTATTGAAATTTGGTTTATCAAACCTGGTGATCCTATATTATTTGAAATTAATAAAAACGATGTTACAATTCAATTTGTTCAAGTTACAGATGGTGAAAATAATCATATTAATTTAGAAAAAAACACTAAAGTTATACCCAAGGAACAAATAATCAAGAAGTCAAAGAAACAAGCTATCAAAAACCCTACAAAGACCAATAATGACGTTATTTATGATCATACTGAGGAATTAACTAATGAATTTGGTGCAGAACCAATGTTTGTACCTGAAGATGAAGATTATCAAGAACCACAACCACCACGAAATTTACCACCACCACCTATACCAAATCTACAAAATGATATATCAATTGAAGATGATATACAACAAGATCAAGATATGTCTCATGAATCTTCACCTAATAGAAATGATGAAATTTCATGGGGTGGTGATCATGACTTGAATAAAGAGAATAAGATTAGTCAATTGATCCAAAATTCTAAAAAAGATGAAAGTAGATTGATTAATGAAGCTAAAATCAAATATTTGAACTCATTAAAATCAAATAATAAAAAACGTAAATTGAAAAAAAATCAAGATTCAATTGAAGAAGAAGAATTAGGTCCTACACAAAATATTCATAACATAAAGGGAATTTTTGATTAGAATATAAATAACTTAATTAATAATTAACACCTATTTTTTTTCTTCAGTACTTGTAGCAGCATTTTTTGAATCAAAATAATTATAATTTAAATATCTAAATCCTTGACCTAATTGAGCACTTAAATTAACAACATGACAACCAAATAATAAATAATTTTTAGGTGTAACAGCTAATGCATATCTTAAGAAAACACCAGAATAAAGAACTAAAGCACCAGTCATTGGACCTGAAATTAATTCTGGATCTTTTTGTAAATCATAAATAGCAGCTAATGGAATACCAAAATTTGAAACTGGACCCCAGAAATGTGTAGTCATTACATATTTTAAAGTTTCTTTGTTGAAGATCTTTTGTGTTATGGATTGGGTAGCAGCACGGTTTACTTGTTGTGACATTGTTATTATTGTTTTATAGTTGATATTTGAATCAATTTGTAGTACTCAATTTAATTGTTCTTTCGGTAAAGTTCAATCCATATTTTTTGTTCCCATAGTATAATACCGGTTTTATTTTTTTTTCCAGAATTCGCGGACTCCATTTTCATTTTTATGGGGGTTGAAAAAAATTCGCGATTATTGGTATCAAATTTAAGTGGGATGAATTCAAACTTTAAGAATTCGAGGGATTTGAACTTTCTTTGCTTCAACATTTCAATTTCCAACTTCGATTCAAACTTGGATTGATTCAACTAAGTCTACATTGTTTGTTTTTGTGGCAGATGAAGAGTTAGATAAATGATGAATATATTATTGGTTGATTATTCAATCTAATATTGCTCTAGAAAGAACATTAATACAAGCTCTATTTTGTCCACTTCTTGGTATACCGTTAGGTCAACGAGCTTGTTTTAAACAAATCAGTTATTAAATTTAGCAGGATTGTATTGACTTCCAACAAAGGGAACCATTGGTATTAGGTAGACTTTATACCCATACAAGCTTGACGTGAATACAAAATTTTAATATGAGTTTTAAAAATTCGAACAGGGCACACATGTCGTTTTTGTGTAATATCTAATTTATTACATATTTGTTGATTCAACATAAAAATAATTTGGCGCTTGATATTTGAAGAATTATGTTCAAACTGCTTATAGGTGCTACTTATCCTTTTGAATTTCCAAAACAAGTTTTAAACAATTGTGTTATTTTGTGTCGAATTTCTATTTGATTTTTTTTATTTGGTGATTTAGAATTTTGTTATTTGATAAATTAGTTGGTGTTACTTATCATTTGAAAAAATTTTGTTATTTTGTGTGGATTATTCAATAGAATTTTGTTATTTGATAAATTAGTTGGTGTTACTTATCATTTGAAAGAACTTTGTTATTCTGTGTGGATTATCCATTAGAATTTTGTTATCTGGTAAATTAGTTGGTATTACTTATCATTTGAAGAACTTTGTTATTCGGTGTTGATTTTCAAATTAAATTTTTTTCTAAAGCATTTGAATTTTTTTTCTAAAGAATTTTGTTATTTTGTGTGGATTATTCAATATTTGAAGCTATAAGAGTTGTCTAAACTGCTCATAACAATTGGTTATTATTGTTCTTCAAGTGAAATTATTGTTTTTTTTTTCAATTGTTTTAAACAATTATTACTGCTGGTTCCACAAGTTTGGGCTAGAATTTGATTTACTATTTGTCTTAATTGAACTTATAAGCATGGGATTGAAATCCTTTTTCAGCTTGAAACGAAGCTTCAAGATTTCTACACTACCAATTCCTGTTGCTGAAAGTTCCAATGATGTTGACTCTTTCGAGATTTCAATCGAGAAAGATGGCCATGCTTCTTTAAGAAGTTTCATGAGAAAATCCACCATCAAATTCAACACTTTGAAGAATCCTTTTAAAGGTAAGAAACAGGTTAAAGATCCATTAGAGTCAAGCCCACCACTCTCAAGCCCAACCATCTCCTGCCCACCACTCTCAAGCTCACTAATTTCAAGTCCACCAATCTCAACACCACTTAACTCACCAAACACACCAAATTTTGAAGTTGAAGATGAAGGTGAAGTTGAAGACGAACGTGGTGATGGTGCAGATGAACATGTCCTGGGTGATGGTGCAAATGGAGATGACCATGACAATGGTGTAGATGGAGATAACCATGGAGATGGTGCAGATGACCATGGAGATGGTGAAGGTGGTGAAGAACAGGGTGAAGGTGGTGATGAGCAGGGTGATGACGAAGATGGTCATGATGAAAATAATAACGATGGAAATGAATTTTTAGGGGGTTGCCCATAATATTTTCCAGCTTGAATTAACTACAATTGCATTTGAGTTTAACCTGTTTTTGAGTACAGAAGCAGAATTACAAAAAATAGACCAAAACAAATGGGTTTTAAAGAATCAATATGTCACATCATTAACCATCAAATACATGATAAAACACAAAGAGCTCATCACCTCAAAAATCGATGAAGACTCGGTTCAATCTTATTTGTTTGCTATCATCAAAAAGTATTTATCAACTGCATATGAAGCATTTAAATCCAACCGTTTTAAGAATCTGGCCTTTTGAAGTTGCTTTATAATATGATTTATATAATTTATATTTTATTTAATGATGTTTTAACCATTTTTCTCGATGAAACAAACTTTACGTAAGTTGTACACTTATAATTGAACTATAACAACGTATATAGATACAGTAAGACTTGTATTGAACTTGGTGATTAAAAGGACTAACGCTGAAACGTTAGGAGGAGCTCTACCTGAAGTCGAAGTTGGCACTGGATTCCTTGTTGTCAAGAAGAAACCATAAACTCTAGAAAGAACCTCATTATAAGAGGAAACCATAAACAATTTGGACTAGAAAACTTCATACAACTCTCAAATATATGATAATTTTAATTTAAGTCTACTTCAGTATAATTGTATCACATTGTTAACTTGACAACTATATATGTGAAAAACTTTTAAACAATATACTCGAATTTCACATTATATTCAACACAATAACAATGATACCTAATGTCAGCTCTTAGTTTTATTCAGCTAATTGTCTTCAATCAACTATATTAACTCAAATGGGTGGTCTCTCTTACACAATTTACAGCTTCGAAATTAAACTGATTAAAACAATTATTATAATGATCTTAATAAACAATATTATCAAGCAATTGAAGCATGTTAAAAGAAATATAGCACATGTCTGATAATTTTCTTTTTTGATTAAATTTGCAGATTGAGTCAAAGCTTTGACATGAATATTCAAATATTGAATTATCTAAACCACTTAGATTATTTGATTTGCAGTAAAGACAACACAGAAATAACACATGAAACCATAAGATCATTAACAAAATTTCCAACCATAGATTAAAGAGCTCAATATGTATAGGTTGCAATTTTCAAAACAATCAACCAAATAAATATAAAAAGCAAAGAAGTACTATAGAATTGATAAACTTTCAGCCCACTAGGTTCTAGGAATCCCCGTTGCCTAGAAAGATCAACTATTATCTTCAAACTTGAATATCTATAAAGTTTTGACGTTGTGACCCAAATCAGATTGATTCTCAGTAGAATAAGATATCTAAATCTTTGGAAAAATTTGTGTATAAATTGACATCAAAATTCTCTGAATTTAGCCTCATTTTTCTCTATTCTAACTCATCACCGATTAGATTTTTAGATCTCAGATCACTCAACATTAATGTAATCAAAAATTGAATTAACTTCAACCATCGCACCTTCTGTTTTGACCTTAAGTGTTATTGCTGCTCCAGTTGATAAATTAGCTAATGCTGTTCAATCTTTACCAGATTTAAACCCAATGCAAACTGGTTTTGCTAACATCACTGCAGGTGAAGTTCAAGAGTTAACCACTTTTTCAAATGATACTTTCTAACAATATGACAAAGTTCAAAGTTTTGGAATAGTCAGATTTAGATGCTCCTTTAAGCAGAACCTTCAGTTGATTAAGCCTTATTAGGTGAATTATTTGAAACTGTTAACAACTTCTTAGACAACTCATTACATTTGAACTTGATTGGTGCTTTAGTCTCATTATTATTAGGTCTATTTGCTGGTATTGATTTATTATTATCAAACTTGAAATAAGTACGTTTACCATTTAAATAAGTTTAATTGAAGCTAATTGAATTATGATCATTATACCCTCAATTTAATCTTAATTATAACAATATTTCATTTGATATTTGATTTTTTCTAATGTTATAGTTATCTTGAATTATAATGTTGATAATATCCGAAACAATTTATGATAACAATTTCAATAATACATCATTAATAAGATCAGAAATTGTAGAGAAGATTCATTGATTGTACCAAATTTTTCTTGACCACAAATTAACATAGCTCCCCAAAATATTGAGTAGAAACTCTCATTAAGGTATAATATGAAAGCCCTTCGTCTGTAATACAATCCTACATGCTTTATAGTCTTCATAAAGGCCAGTGAATGATGCTTTTCCTTAATTTTAGTCTCCCTTAGTTAAGGGTTTTTTCTGGTGGCGCGAAAGTGTAATTCTGTGAATTTTTTTCTTTCTTAATGAACATAAGAACATATAAAGACATAATCTGGAAACATATAAGTCGAACGTTCCAGTTTTCTTAACGCCAAATTTGAATTAAATCTCAATATTTCCCATCATATCGTTCTGAATAATAAGCGATATAAGGAGTTATTGGAACGCAACTACCAATATATTTCAAACATATTTGAAGAGTTGTTGTTGAATTGCTTCTCAGATGATCAATAGTATAGAATGGCATAAAATCACTTCAAACTTCTATGATCATTATTCAGCTTCTGGAAAAACATCAGAAGGATTCATATATTTAGTTCGTAAACTAAATCCAATTTAATCTATCAAGTCTTTATTACTTCATGATGGCTATGGATATACTATATTAATGATATATATAGTAAAACACCTATATATATGTCATGTAGTATTTCGATAATGTGTAGTCAATATATTCATCGTAGCCAATATTAGATAATTATATCAATCATCTATTAATAGTTTCATCAAAAATTGATAATATCAAATTTCGAACATTTATATGGTTCGATCAATATGGCGGTAGTAAACTTACGCGTCCTAAATATTTAGCAGCTATATATAGCTAGCATTTTAGTACGTACATGAGCTTAAACTGCATTCAAATATATTAAATTCATATAATTAAAATATATTAATATATATTATATATAATATTATAATTATTTTATATTCTTAATTAGCTGATATATATATTATATATAATATTATAATTATTTTATATTCTTAATTAGCTGATATATATATTATATATATATGTTGCATTTATGTAGCCAACTTATTCACC